TATGAGAGACATTTACATAAGAACAGAGTCTAATGAGACAGAAACAGCTGTCAGTCGCTGACTCTATAAACAGATCAACACTTAATGACTGAATGAGTTTCAGAATAATTGGGTAAATGTAATTACAGTAATTCTGAAGGTAGAAATACAATATCTGGTCAGTCTCATTTACCTTGATTCCTCGGGTTACCTAACTATCAAAAGATGACTCAGTGCTATTTTATTTTAGTCTAGATGTTTCTACTGGGGAGGGGAGATCAAATGAAGAAAAGACTGTCAAGATTTGTTGCTTTTGGGAATCCATAGAGTTTGGATTTTAAATGCAAGTCAACTTCATTTCATGATTCAGTACTCCCACTTTCAGACTCAATCCAAAATGCAGTAAGCTGGTGACCATCCTCTTGAATTGCCCTTTTCTCTGTAATGTTTTATTTGTGTAAGTACAGGCATTTACATCTGCATCTTTTAAACAATCTTATAAAACTTCAATCCTGTGCTGATTGTGAAAATGTCTATATTGTCTCAGTGACTTTTATGAGGCTTGATCATTCCATGGAAGTTGATTTCATAACAAGACTTCTGGGTTGAAGTTTAAGGTCCTTCAAGAAGAGTAATGTATTACAAGGTATCTATGGAAAAGATGTGAAAGAAGTTCTGTGAGTTATTTCTACACATAGTACTACATTTTTAGACAGTGGCTTTCCAGTTGATGGCTAAGTATATTTCTGAAGTGGAACTGAGGTGCTTAGCACTAAAAAGTGTTGGTACGAAAAATGTCCTTTGATGGTTGTAAAGTCCAGTCAACCTGACTTCAGTAAAAAATTTACCTAAAACAATTAAAACATTATCAATTTTTTTAAATGCATAAGGTTTCTCTCCTAAGAATATGAGTGGAGGGAAGTGATTTGCAAGTTAAGTATTTGTGTTGAGGGCAATATAGATAAGTGATTCAGCTACAAACCAGTGACATCACACCACGTATTCTCATTTGTGACCAGCTGGAGATTGCTCACATGACTAATATTTTGGAGTATATTTTATTTATTATGCTGTTACAGTTGTCCCATTTATTTTCTCCCCTTTATCCCCCTCCACCCTGCATCTCCCCTCCTAGCATTCCTCCCCCCTTAGTTCATGTCCATGGGTCATACACATAAGTTCTTTAGCTTTTCCATTTCCTGGACTGTTCTTAACTTCTCCCTATCTATTTTGTACCTACTATTTATGCTGCTTATTCCCTGTACCTTTTCCTCCATTCTTCCCCTCCCCCTCCCCACTGATAACCCTCCATGTGATCTCCATTTCTGTGATTCTGAGTTTTTTAGGTTCAGATGTTGATAGTTGTTTGTTGTAATTTTACTGTTTCTAGTTTTTTATTTTCTTAGATAAGTCCCTTTGACATTTATATAACAAGGGTTTGGTGATGATAAACTCCATTAACTTGACCTTATCTAGGAAGCACTTTATCTGCCCTTCCATTCTAAATGATAGCTTTGCTGGATAGAGTATCCTTGGATGTAGATCCTTTCCTTTTATGACTTTGAATACTTCTTTACAGCCCCCTCTGGCCTGTCAGGTTTCTTTTGAAAAGTCAGCTGATAGTCTCATGGGCATTCCTTTGTAGGTAACTCTTTCCTTTCCTCTTTCTGCTTTTGGGTAACTGAATTATGATGTGTCTTGGCGTGTTTCTTCTTGGATCCAATTTCTTTGGGACTCTCTGAGCTTCCTGGACATCTATTTTCTTCACCAGGTTAAGAAGTTCTCCTTCATTATTTGTTCAAGGTATTACCAGTTCTCCTTTATTATTTGTGAGTTTTCAATTTCTTGCTCTTCCTCTTCTCCTTCTGGCACCCCTATGATTCAGATGTTGAAACATTTAAAGTTGTCCCACAGGTTCCTAAGCCTCTCCTTGTTTTTTTTGAATTCTTGTTTCTTCATTCTGTTCCAGTTCAATGTTTATTTCTTCCTTCTGTTCGAAGTTGTTGATTGGAATCCCGGTTTCCTTCCCTTTACTGTTGGTTTCTTGTATATTTTTTCTTTATTTCACTTTGCATAGCCCTCACTTCTTCCTCTATTTTGTGTCTGTACTCAATCATTTCTGTAAGCATCCTGATTACCAGTGTTTTGAACTCTGCATCTGATAGGTTGCCTATCTCCTTGTGGCTTTATTCTTTTTCTGGAGTCTCAATATGTGTTTTCATATGGGCCATATTTCTTTGACTCAGCACACCTGTTACATTGTTATGGGCAGAGCCTTAGGTATTTGCCAAGGCAGGGCAACCCACTTTATTGTGTTGTGGCACCATATGTGGGGGAGGACTCAGAGAGGGAACAGTGCCCCTTGCTCAGCTCTTGCCCAGCTTTCAGTCACTTCCCTGCTACCCACAAGCAAAGTTGACCCTTCTTGTGATGATTCCTGGGCGGGTGAGTTTGTGTACATTCTAGGACCCTGTGGGTCTCTCCAACAAACTCTCCTGTGAGGCCGGGAGTTTCTCCTATTGCCTCATCCTCCACAAGTTTTTCTCTTAGAGATTTTGAGGCTTTAGTTTTCTACACTGGAACCCTAGGTTGCATGGTCTGTCTTGCTTCCCATTTGTTCCTTCCAGGTTATCCACATGAGAGTGTGGGACCACCCCGTCCGCCAGGTGCTACCTCACCCACCCAGTCTGCCACCTTGCTGACTCTCCACCCCAGCTGCCCGCCTCCACCCCTCCTACCAGTCTGGGTGAATGTTTCTTCTTTAACTCCTTGGTTGTTGGACTTCCATGCAGTTCAATTTTCTGGCAGCTCTGAGGTTTTTTTGTTTTTAAATTTGTCGTTGTCCTTCTTTTGGTTGGGTGAGGAAGCAGAGTGTATCTACCTATGCCTCCAATTTGGTGGGAAGTTCCATACTTTCACATGACTAATTTTTTTCTCAATAAATATGAAGCCAATATTCTACCTCTTTTTGCTTCCTTTTCTGTTAGCATCAGCACATTAAGCTGTGGACTGTAATTTTAAATGGAACAATCCACTTTAAGCTTTTTATTTTGAAGAAATATTTTTCAAGAGTTTATGATACATGTAAGGATCAGTTTACTCAGAAAAAGAATTTAAAACGTGTCTATGTGTGAAGAAGCATAAATAAACTGGGAGATCTAGGACAGGTTTCTAAAACCCTCCAACGCCATATTAATGTTGAAATATTAAAACTTCAAAATACTGTGTGCTACCGGTTTTATGTAGGCATGTGACTATAAAGGAAATAAACTGTCACCATGGTCAACAAACCACCAGAGCAATCATTAAATTTGTGAGCTGGAAGGGATCTTAGAAATCAGTTTGCCCAGTCCCTTTATTTGAGAGGTAAGGGACGAGAAGCCCTTCAAGGCTTACATTCCTCACTAAAGGTCACACAGATGATAAATTGCAGAACCAAGGTCCAGGTCAGGTCCCCTAACTCCTAGAACATTCTTTACTTCATTACCTACCAGAAGTCAGAGACAGGCTGCCCTTTCTTGGCCTGTCACTCTACTCATTGACTCATTTTTTTTAGCAGAATTTTTTGTACACCAATTTTTTCTGTTCCTGTGCAAACTATTGAGATAAACGATATCTCTGTCCCCAAAAGAGCTCATAGTCTAGTCACCTGTGGCCCTAGACTTGACTCAGATTATAATGAGCCTTAAAAGAACATAGTCGTCTCTTCTTTTTATGATACTGGTGCATGAATCTGTATTTATTTATTTTCCATAGGGCTCTATGCTCTAAGACAATGTACCTATTTTTATAGTTGGCTTTTCTAAAAACCATTTCTTAATAGGACTGTGAAAATTGTGATGGCTGTTAGATTACAGATATAAATTATTTCCATAAAGGAATTGCATCTGAGATGAGCTCTCATATGCAGCAAACCTGTATCTACTAGGTGCACTTAGTGAATATGGAATTATCCTACTAGGAATGAAAATGTAGCCTATTAGCCACAGATCATTGGTAAAAGAAACAGTAAGGACTTAGTCTGGATTTTAGCAGCCTGCTCTGTATTTAGGGAGTATTTAATATGTACGTAATTGATGCAGTAGACCTTAATGGATCATTCACAGGTATCAAGATCAAGAGTATCTATAGATGGTGTGCTTGGGGAAGGTTTAATCAATGAAACTGAGCATGCACATTAATTCTGCAATTGGGGGAGGGAAGTCTTTGTTTCTCACTTTGACCAAAAATAAGTAATGATTGATCCCTAAGAATTTCCAGAGTTTAAAAATATGTAATTTTAAAAGAATTTTTTGTGATCATCAACAAATGAAAACCTTGACATTGCTCTCAAAATATTCTTTTCTTAAGATTTTATATCAGGGGTAAATGAATTAAGGTCCCCAGTGTTTCTCTCTGTGTAATGGATGGTCAACTTACCTCCACTTAACATCAGGTTGTCCGTGAAACCTAAGCAATTTAATGTTTCAGAAATAATAAGCAGATTTTAGCACCCAGATGTTCATACCTGCAATATTGTAGCATGTTCCCTCAACCCCAAAACAATACCCTGAAAACTTCAGTTTTATGTTGAGATGTAACTGCAAATCTTCAAATAACTACTGATGTGTTTATGATAAGAAATTGTGTTGCTATAAGTTGAACAGTTCACATATTCATTTATGAAAGACAGGCTGTTTAATATATATCTTTATTTTCCTTAAATATTTTTTCATATTTTGTTTGTTTTCTTAGCATCAAATCTCTGTGCAACTACAACAAAAACATGTGAAATTCTGTTTTTCTTTAAAATGTCTCCAGTTAAACTACAATGAAGGTATATTCAAAATAAGGAGATTTTTAACTTCCCTTTGTGATAGAATTGCTGAATTGGACAGTAATTGACTGGAAATTGAACTACTACAGAAAAATGATTGGCAGCTAAATACAAGTTCCAGAAAGTTGTCTGAACTTGAACATTCTTTGTCTATATTAGCACGTGTCAGTTAAAATATTGTTTTTACTACTGTACCTGTTTCTAGGTCCAGTGCCACCCGCTTCCGTTGGAGTCAGAGCTATTACACAGCCCAAGACGAGTGGGCGTTAGACAGCATCTACATCGGCCAGCAGTGCCCAAACATGTGCAATGGTCACGGCTCCTGTGACCATGGCATGTGCAGGTATACGCATCAGAAAGTGCGACGGATCTCTGCTTCTCAGGATTTGTGTTTACAGGGTTACCACAGCCATTGTCATCAGAGTTGTATGGATAGGCTGATAGATAATAAAATAGCCAAAAGAAAATGACCCTTCCCTCTGTTCTTATTGTGGATGTAAAAGATATTGTTACATTTAAATTAGTATTTTAAACTTCAAAATCTAACATCAAACAAGGGCTCTTGGGCTTAAATTTCAGAGTTTATTAATTAACTTCAAAGTTCTCTTTGGTAGTTAAAAGAGCCTTTCGATTGTTTTCCTTCTTTTCCCCTGACAGTCTTAAAGCACTAGTCAAACAGCTGCTACTGGCTGTCCTACCTACCCCACTTCACCAGAAGCTCAAGGTTGCATACAAGGGGAGATGGTGATTATAGCTAATGAGGGTGAAATAGGAACACACTTGAATGCTTAAAGACTCTAAAAGAGATATAATTTAATCAGAAAGAGGAACGATAAATCATGACCAGAGTTACATGTTGGTTGAGCAAACATTTATATGTGACTTTTTAAGGCTACAGGAAAACCCCTCTATCTTCCCTCCCCACTAGACACACACACACACACACACACACACATCCTTCTTCCTCACTACTTGATGCCGCAGTTCTGCTACAGCATTATTTCTTTTAAGAAAGGGTTCTATTCATTATTTTTTTGAAGTATGAATAGTTAAAGGTTGTTGCTATCACATATACAGATTAACGCTGTAAAGAAAAATCCAGCATGAATGCTGAGACCAGAGCAAAAGTAAATCCTATGAAATGTTGCAGGTCACCTGGCCATGGCACTCACAGATGAAACTATGGCTTGTTTATGTATCCCTCTCTCTCTAGGTGCGACCAGGGGTATCAAGGCACCGAATGCCACCCAGAAGCTGCTCTTCCTTCTACAATTATGTCCGATTTTGAGAACCAGAATGGATGGGAGTCTGACTGGCAAGAAGTTATCGGGGGAGAAGTTGTAAAACCAGAACAAGGATGTGGCGTCGTGTCTTCTGGATCATCTCTTTATTTCAGCAAGGTATGACTTCAGGCTGAGAAGCATTGATGGCTCAGTCACGACTGAAGCATGGGAATAATGATCAAGGCAATGGCTGTTTCAATATGTGACTCATTGATGGAACAGTCTGAACTCTGAAAGTACAAATATGAGAAGGTTTTCTTTTTCCCCACATTCCCTGCTTATAACTGGCCCTTTTCAAATTCCTATCCCTTAACTACATCTGGGAAACTTTTATAGATTTCTGATGGATTGTTTTGGTTACTACAAATCCAGGATAGGCCAATTTAAAAATCCTGCCCCTCTTATACCTAATTTAAATCTCACTGCTTTCGCTTCCTCCAAAGCCAGACAGTCTGTGTCTTGCGGGTCTTTGAGTGGGTCAGGGTCCTGGTCACTTCTCACTCAGCCTTGAAGGGTGTGTGAACATGCAGGTCTCTAGGTGGGGGTATAAATAATGGTGGAGCTGGTGGCGTTATAGAAGTTAAGAGCAGCAACTTTGGAACCAGACTGCCTGCTTCAATCTGATTACACCACTTCCTAGCTCTGTTACTTTGAGCAAATTCCTTAAACTTTCTCTGACTTGGCTTCCTCATCTATAAAGTGGAGATAATAAGAGTATCTACCTCATTCGGGTTATTGTGCAGATTAAATGCATCAATATACTTGTAAATCATGTGGGACAGTACCTAATACATAGAAAGCACTTATATAAGGATTTATTAAATTTGTCAATCCATTAACCTCAAAAGTATGATTTGAAGGAGGAATAATGGTGGGTGCGGAGAGCTGTTCCTAGGGAACTGATTAGCACTTCTTGGTGAGCAAACATCTTGAGGCTGATTTAGGCTCAGTTTGGTGGCTGCTGGTGGTATCTGCTGATGTGAGACTGTCTTAGTCACCTCAAGCTACTAAAACAAAAATACAGCATATAAAAATACCATAAAAAATATACCATTGGATGGCTTAAACAGCAGACATTTGTCTCTCACAAAAAGCTGGGAAGAAGATGAAAACAGCAGATTTGGTGTCTGTTGAGGATCCACTTCCTAGTTCAGAGATGCCATCTTCTCTTTGTGTCCTCACATGGTGAAGACAGCAGAGAGAGAGAGAGCAGGCTTTCCTACGCCTCTTCTTATGAGGGCACTAATCCCATAATGAGGATTCCACCCTTACAACCTAATTGCTTGCCAAAGGCCCCATACCTCCTAATACCATTGTTTTGGGAGTTAGGCTTTCAGTATATGAATTTGAGGTGCACAAACATGAAGTACATAGCAGAGACCTGCATAAAAGTTTTTCTTGCAGTGTTCAGCTTCCCCAGTGGCAGCACCAGGTTAGGTAAACAGGGCAGTGTACACAAACTAGGAACTGAGGAGTCAGCCTGAATCTCTAAGACTAATTATCTCGGAACACCTCCAACCCATGTTGCTTGGTTAGGGATAAGGGCGGGGGAACGACCTCTCTTGCTACAGTTTAGACATGACATTCTTTTCTTCCTTCTTTCTCCAATTCATCTATTCATATCATCTCTAAAAGGACTGGAGGGGAAGCAGTTCCCATTCTCAGCCTGAGCAATGTCTCTAAGCTCAACTATTGACAGCTCTCTTTAGAATGTGAGGTACTTAACACCACTTCTTTCCAGCAGGAACTACAGCCACCAATTCTAGGACAATTGGAAATGTGCCACTCTTCATCGCATAAGAAGCACACAGGTGTGGGTGATGTACCACAGGGCTGATAGGTTGAGGAATTTAGGCAGAAATCCAAGACAAGTCTATTTATGCATATACAAAAATAGGTACAGGTTTTGTTTTGATGCAGGTGCAGAACAAAGGATCGGCAAGTAAACAAGATAAAGAATGATAGAAACTCAGGAATGGATTCCATTTAATGGTATTTCCTATCTATTGACATTGAAAGTCCCCAGGATCTTATTGTCAGATATAATAGTCAATAAGTGATTGTGAATATTGCATAGATCCAAATATACTGTATAATTGTGCAGAAATGGGAAGACTGTGTCTCCCTTAAGTTTCAATTTTAAACAAGATTATGAATTCTTAACCAATATGTACCCAAATACTCCAATAAACATGTGTATGTGCACACACAGAGAGATTTTGAACATATAAAGTTATAATCACTATTTCTTACACATGGATTTGTACCTGGGCTCCAAACCTCAATAATTGCTTCACCTTACAGAGTTAAAACATCTATATGTATCTCAGTTTTCTCAACTGTAAGATGGAATGTTTGAAGGATTAAGTGAGTTAATGCAGCTAAAGAATAAATAGAAATAGTTCAATAAGTGTTAACCATCATAATTACATCTTATGAGGTTAAATTATAAATCATTATCATTGAATATTTCCCTATATATGCCCTTCCACTAACTTGAAATCAGCATTTCAAAAGTAAAATCCTTCTCCTAGCTCAACCCAGCTTTCTCCCTCAATTTTTATCAAAATATCTGAGGATCTTTTTTTTTTTTGCTTTTTTCCCATGTTTCAGTCAGATCATTTTTGAATTCTAAGTGAGAGAAACTAGCTTAAACAAAGAAGAAAAATTGTTCACGTTATCAAAACACAGGGACAGACTTACTGTCAAGATGGAGGCATAGGTTAACACAGCTGGCCTACTTGCACAGCCACAGAAAAAATTATAGCTAAATTACAAAATAACTATAACCGAAAATCATCAGAAAATCGAGGTATAGAAGTCCACAAACCAAAGAATTAAAGAAGTCACATTCATTCAGACAGGTAGAAGGGGCAGAGATGCAGAGGCATTGAGGCGCCGATGGGAGGGTTCCACACCTATGTGTGGTGGACAAAAATTGGGAAGGATGTCTCGAGAACAAGGGATCCAAGCCCCACACCAGACCACCCAGCCCAGGGTTCCAGTACCAAGAAGATAATTCCCCATAACTTCTGGCTATAAAACCAGTGGGGGTTGAGGCAGCAGAATAAACAGAAGGATTCTCAGGCAGCTCCTCTTAAAAGACCCACAGTGGAATTAAGACTTATGCAGACACACTCTCTTTAGGCTCCGTCATTGGAGCAGCAGCTTCAAGTGCACTAGTGGCACATGGGGATAAACTGAAGTATCTGGCATGAGGGCGAGTGCCAGGGAACAGCTTCCTCCCAGACAAAACTCCAGAGGTCAGGTAGCAGCCATTGTCACTTTTCTGAACCCCCCTCACACAGAGGGCCACAGAGCTACTGCACCATATCTGAGATGCTATCAACCTAGCTCACAGGGGTTGCCCTGCCCTAGCAATTACCCAAGCCTCTGCCCTATCCAACTTACAGGTGTGCTTTTCTACATTACACCATGCTACTTAGCCAAGGAGTCAAAGAAGCTCTACCTTATACATAGAAACAAACACAGGGGGCCTGCCAAAATGAGGAGACAAAGAAATATGGTCCAAATAAAAGGACAGAACAAAACTACAGAAAAAGCACTAAACAAAATGGAGATAAGCAATCTATCAGATGAGTTCAGAACACTGGTTATTAGGATACTCAAGGAACTCACTGAGTACTTCAACAGCACAAAAGAGACCCAGGCAGAAATGAAAGTTACAGTATGTGAAATAAAGAAAAATTTATAGGGAATCAACAGTGGAGTGGATGAAGCCAAGAATGAAATCAATGATCTAGAACACAAGGAAGAAAAAAATTTAATAAGAACAGCAAGAAAAAAGAATCAAAACAATTATAAAAAAACAAAGATAGGGTAAGGAGCCTCTGGGACAACTTGAAATATACTAACATTTGAAATATAGGGGTGCTGGAAGGAAAAGAGAAAGAGCAAGAAATTGAAACCTTATTTGAAAAAATAATAAAAGAAAACTTCCCTAATTTGGTGAAGGAAATAGACATACAAGTCCAGGAAGCACAGAGAACCCCAAATAAGATGGATGTGAAGAGGACCACACCAAGGCACATCATAATTAAAATGCCAGAGGTTAAAGATAAAAAGAGAATCTTAAAAGCAGCAAGAGAAAAGCAGAGAGTTACCTACAAAGGAGTTCCCATAGACTGTCAGCTGATTTCTCAAAAGAAACTTTGCAGGCTAGACGGGATTGGCAAGAAGTATTCAAAGTGATGAAAAGCAAGGACATACAACCATCCAGCAAAGCTATCATTTAGAATGGAAAGGCAGATAAAGTGCTCCCCAGACAAGGTAAAGCTAAAGTTCATCATCACCAAGATGTTATTATGTGAAATGTTAAAGGGCCTTACTTAAGAAAAAGAAGATCAAAACTATGAACATTAAAATGGTAAATTCACAACTATCAACAATTGAATATGAAAACCAAGCTAAGCAAACAAGCAGAACAGAAAGAGAATCATAGATATGAAGCTCATTTGAATGGTTACCAGTTGGGAAGGGGAAGGAGGAGAATAGGGGAAAAGGTACAGGGATTAAGAAGTACAAATTGGTAGGTTCAAAATAGGCTGGGGGATGTTAAGAACAGTAGAGGAAATGGAATTGCCAAAAAATGTATATGCATGACCCATGGACATAAACTACTAAGGGGGGGATTGCCAGAGGGAATAGGCTTACTGGGTGGAGGGAGCCAATGGGAGGAAAATTGGGGCGACTATAATACAATCAATAAAATATGTTTTTAAAAACCCAGGAATGCCTTAGTCAGAACTGGCCTCAGAGATATCTGGAACTGGAAACTCAGGTGCTCACAGGGCTCCCTCCTTGAGAGTAGACTCTGTTTTCAATTCAGGTCAGCCACCATTATGAGATTGGAATTATGGCCACAGAGCTTTCTAAGCAGCACCGTAGAAAATTCTGAGGACAGTTTCTGATTGGCCAATCACAGTGTCCTGGGGATGGTGGGCTGTGATTTGCATGGCCAGCCCACCAGGCATGTACTCACTGCTTTGGTAGAGGTGGGACACACAGTTTGGCAATCCCCACCCGCTAGCATGATCGGAATAGAGACGAGACAGTAACCCAAAGGAAATCACCCTAGATTAATTTATCTGGAAACATGCTTCTATCCTGTCCTTTTTCTGGCACAGATGTTTAGGATGGTCTCCAGTACTGCTGCCCTAATTGCATAACTTATTTTCTTTTTCCAAACATAAGCGCTCTGCCCTGCAAAAGAAACTCCCCTCCTCACTCCAGGCTTTGCCAATTTCCCTATCTTTGCTTAGTCTCCACTGCCTACCATTCTGCCTTCCATCATCTCTGCATCCACATAAACCTTGCAGCATCCTGCTCAAATCCCACTGCTTCTGTGGAGCTTTCTGGAACTATGGCAAACTACACTAATATCTTTTTTTTTTTTAATTTATCTCTTATCTGTGTCCTATGCAGATAGAGATTATATTTTTATTCTCACTGTAACCAGTTAGGTGCAGAGTCCTACTGCCTGAGCCAACTCTCGATAAGGAGCACAACTCAGACTGCATGCCTTAGGCTAGTCATTTACATATCAATAAATACCCTTGAGACTGAATAGATTGGAGAATTGATAAATGATGGTGGGAGTAAATGAGGTCAACAAGGAATAGAACTTGATCTGCAGCCCAACGTTGTCACTACTGACACCGCACATACATATCTGTAAATTCTCCTTTTAAGTTTCTTCTCCTAACTCATGGTATTATACCTGATAAAATTGGTGCCCAATAATATTTGTTGAAGAAATGAATGAATGAATGAATGAATGAATATTGGAAAACAGCAAAAGGGGCTAAAAATGATTATTTTAAAATAAATATAATATAATTGTTTTCTACTGGCATTTGATTTTAAAAGGTTTTAATTGGAGATAAAAGGTGAAGTTTTATGAAGTATTTTAGTAGAAGTTTTGTTTTAAAGGCTCCAAAGTCTGAAGGCATTTCCTTTAAAATCTGTTTTCTTTTATTCTTTTATCTAAATCCTTAAAACAGTAAGCTATTTTATCCTGGAATGTTGGTGGAAAGTTGGAAGGTATTTTTTACACTCCAGGAATGAGGAGATCCTTACCTTACTATTCTAACACACATGCACACACACACTGCATGCTTGTTTATGTCTACACATGCACGTGTGAATACATCCTCAGAGAATAATGGAAAAGCTGCAAAGCATGTGTCACATCATATTCTAAATTCTAACAGAACATATGCTATGAGGCATTTTCCTTTTTCCTTTTTTTCTTCCTTTAAAATAATATTCAGCATTTCAGGTCACTAGACAAAAGAGAATGACTTGTGCTGTTTTCTAGAAAAAAAAATCTTCTGTGTCAAAACAAACACATGCATGATAGTTTCCACCATTTACAAAAAATCCCACAAAAGAGTCTTCCAAAGCCTCTGGAGACCAACACCTTCACCTCCTGGAAAAACACACTGCTCTATAAAATTCACAATAAACCAATCATTCCAACCAGCTAATTGGGATAATGGGATTTTTATAATTCTCTTCACCTTACACCTTTATCCTTCTGGCTTAGTTCCACATGTGAAGTTTTTCATAAGAGTTTGCTGGATTGGAATTAACCAGCTGGGTTCTGTAGTTCTTGTCTCAAAATCATCCTTCCTGTAATAATTCTAGGCGAGATTATAATAATCTCTGAGGTATTTCTCACTTGCACTATTTCAAATCAACAAGAAAAATCAAAAGCACAGATAACACATTGAAAATGCATATTACTTTTAAGATTTACTCAAATACATACTTAAAATTGAGAGTTACAAAAAATAAGTTCCTATGTCAGGATTAATTTCAGCTCTCATTTCACTGAACCCCTTTTTGGTTTCAGTGAAGAGGGGGAAATCTCTTAATTGGCTTTAGATTTTTAAGTACCCTTTTCATTAGCCCCAAGTATTTCACCTGCGACTTATAACTGAAACCCTTTCTTAATTAACTTGGTGAATTTGTGCAGGGTTTAAATTATAAGTGTGAGGGGTGTTTTTCTCTAAACTGGCTATCCTATTGTAGTTTTTCTTCCCAACTCATAACTAAACTTGGAGAGTTGGGAGCTCTCCAAGACCAGTTCGAGCAGGCCATGCATTAACTTTGGCACAATCTGGGTGGAGGAATCTCATCATCAAACCTTTTTTCAGTCTCATTAGCATGAAACTATTTACACACAACAGGAATCAGGACAGACCTTGTCAATTTGTATCTAACATCGCACAACAGGACTGTGACCTCTATGGGACACACTAAGCAAAGGAAGCATGTTGGTGGATTTGATGAAATTTTTAACATTTTTAAGACACAAAGAGATCATGTAGTGGTCACCAAAACTTACTTAAATGATCCCTCCCAATCTCTCTATTTCCAAATGAGAGACTGAGAGAGAGGCAGAGACAGACACACTGACTGGGAGCCCGAAGGACCCAAGTCCTCTTTCTTTTTTATCAAGTTTCTATCTTAAACCTGTTTTACTTTCATTCTCACGGAGGAGGAGGTCCAAGTATACCTCTCAGGAAGACATTCAGTGTGCTAGGCAAGTTTCATGCAAAATTTTATTTCATGTAATTATCACAACACCCTATAAGGAAGGCATTATTACCCATATTGTCCCTTTGAGGAATATAAAAGCTCAGAAAGATCGCACAGCTAAACAGCACGCATAATGGGCTGAGATTCAAACCCAGCTCCGGCTGATCTCTAAGTATATGGTCTTTCAGATTCTCCCTTACTTTGCCTGGAGGAGATTCACAAAGCAAACATTGGAAGTGTTTTAATTTAAATTAATTTTATTTTATTTTTAAAGACCTTTGAATACTCTTTGGTGTAATTAACAGTTCCCAATGATCTCATGACCAAGTCTGGTAATCAGTGATGTAGAGACTAAACAAATATATCCAGGAACAGTCGCCATAACCGAAGCAGAGATAATTAAATGGCAAAACTTGCTCCTCTCAACAGTAAATGATAACAAAAAAATAAATAAATAAATTTTAATTTAAAAAAATCAATAGATGGGGATAAAATCATCTCCACATAATGCTAGGATGCTCATATGAATTTGCAACTAAAACAGCAAAATGCCTAAGAGCTCCCAGATAACTGAACCTGTGGTGTTTCTGTCCTTTGGAAAGGCTGGAAAAAGACAGCTGGTGAGCTGGGATCTGGACACTTCTTGGGTGGACTTTGTCCAGTTCTACATCCAAATAGGCGGAGAGAGTGCTGCATGCAACAAGCCTGACAGCAGAGAGGAGGGCATCCTCCTTCAGTACAGCAACAATGGGGGCATCCAGTGGCACCTGCTGGCAGAGATGTACTTCTCAGACTTCAGCAAACCCAGGTAACCAAACCCTGATGGCCTTCCAGTGGTTTCAAGGAACAGTAAAGATTACACTGTTCTTGAGGTGTTTCCAAAATGTTAACTGTTGCAAAAATAGACAAACTCATAGCTATCTGGTATGAACGATAACCTAATACATAAACATTCCATTTCATTTATGTTTTTGGACAGAAAGCACTTGTATTCATATTTGAATTTTTAAAGAATTTGAGAGAAAAAAAATGTGGCTAGAGAAAAGTGAGACCATTTTTTCCCCAAAGAAACTCTGTGACATAGGGGTATTCCAAGCATTTCTGGGGTTTTAGTAGTACACACATGAAATATATTCATCTGTTAGATTTAACAGCAAGATGGATTTTGTCAAATCTTAATATAGCTGCACCCAGAGCTAGTCCTAGACAACATATGAAGCAGTCTGTGGAGCTTGGATTTTCTAAAATTTTTCACTGGCCCATTCCTGTCTTCATTTTGATGGATGGGGAACATATGTAATGAAATGTCTTAGGTAATGACTATTTAGAAAAACGCTAATTTTTGTACCAGGCAATCAGTGTATTTAGCTATATTAATTTTTTTTGCAGCTATGTAGTATTTTGAAATTCTGTATTTGTACTTTTAGGGTATTCCTTTTTATAATCTCTATATTTGCACTTTCCCACAAAGATAAAATTTTTTGTTTATGTATGTTGACCAATCGTTATTGAGCTTTAACATTCTAAAGTTGTCCCTGTTTTACATTTTACAACTGAAACTTTTTTATTGAAAAAATTATTGAAGAATAGATTCAAATTTTTATAACTTAGATATTTTTAAATGCTACTTAAAATATAGCTATTTTGTAGACTGAAGTTTCATATGTTTATTGTTTTGAAAACATTGAGTAGTTTAAAGGTGACCTGATTTTCCATAATATAACAGACATTGACATACAGACAGACCAAACAAAAGCTCTTTTTCTAAGGACACATGGGAGAGGAAGCAACCAGAGGAAAGGCAACGAGGTAAAACAAGAAAGATGATCCAGAGAAAAAGTCAGGAATGGTGAGTGGGAGGCGGCACTGGGTGAGATTCCCCCAGTACAGTAGAGAGGGAATTCGAATGGTGCCAAGCTGGTTTTAAAACAATTTAAAGTAATTCAAATTATTTTTCCAAGTAACATCATTGTCATTCTGGAAATTAAAGTGACTAGATTACTATGTAGACAAACATAACTTTAACAGCTTTTTCCAATTCAAGAAATATTTAGCTTTGTTTTTATGGGAATTTTTCTTTAGGGCCAGGATATGTCACCAGATTTTCAAGGAGTTTATGACAGTAAAACAGCTGAGAAACTCTGAGTTGGAAGATAGCAGAAAAAGACCCTATTCACGATGGCTGATGCATAAATAAATATAAGAATAACTTTAACAATTCTAAGAATCTCTGTAAAGAAAATTTCAGAACTATCTTCAAAGATAAAAGAAAACAAATTAGTGGAAAATGATACAGCCCCCTTGGATAGGAAAACTTAATATTGTGATATGGGTATATTTCAATTTATGTTTAATGCAATCCAATCAAAATCCTAGACACATTTTTTTTTTACACCATATATCAAGAAATACAAACTGGCAAAAATAGCTTCAACTTTTGGAGAAAAAATAGAGGAATGCCCTACATGATGTTAAAATGTTATATACCCTAAATAATTATAATAGAATGATAGTGGTACATGGATAGAACAAATGATGAAGCCAAATGAATGACCCAGAAATTGACTCAAATATATAAGAATTTATATGTGAAAAAGAGATGAATCAACTATCAATGGGAAAGAAATGGATATTCAATCAGCTGGTGTTAGAAAATAATCAGCTCTTGGGGGAAAATATCAATTTAGATTATCACCTTCCATCACCAAAAACTTGTTAAAGACAGGTTAAATACTCAATATTTAAACATGTAAGTTACTATTTGACTTTGGGAAAAGATCTAAACTTTCTAAACATAAATTCCATGGAAATATTGACAAAGAAAAGGACTACTTAGAAATATACTACATGCAAATATAAAACTATACACATGTAACACATGTATGTCAAAAAATACAGAAAGCAATGAAGGAAAGGAAAACAAACAAATTATTTGCAATCATTATGAAAAACAGAGGGTCAATGTAAAGAGCTTATACAAATCAGGAGAAACACTAAGATCCCAATAGAAAAATGGGTAAAAGGAATAAGTAGATATTACAAAAGAGGACATATAGATGTTTAGTAAAACATGAATAATATCCAACCTCTTTTGCAATAATAAATACATCATTTTCAACAGTCAAATGGTCATTTTTAAAACATAATGCCAAGTGCTTTCTCCACACAGGAGCAGCAAGACAGGCACTCTCATGTCATCCTGCAAACTTATGACCCTTCTAGAAAGGAGGAAAAATCAAGAATCTTAAATGTGGCCAGTTTACTTCACCTTGTAATTCTGTTTCTAGGAATCTTACCTTAAGAAATAAACCAAAGTGGAGATAAAGCTTTGTTCATAAAGATTTTCATCACAGAAATAATACACATCAAAATTTTAACAAAGGCCAACCCCATACAGTAGATTATGGGTGGGTTTTGTTTCATTTTTAGTGCATACTTATGTTTTCCCACAATAAGTAAGAATGGCTTTGAAAAAAATTGAATGCTATTTTAATGTAATAATATTCAAAGGAGCAGTTTTTTCTTGAAAATGATGTGACTATTACCATGGTAGTCAAAAGACATTGTTCAGTGAATCAAACACAGCTGAAATATCACCTCTAAAAGATACAGTTCCAAATGTAATAAACATGATCAGGACTAAATCAGCTTACAACATCAAACCTCTTGTCTGATCTTTTAAGCTTAGAAAATTTTCAAAAATATCAAGAGATCAAACAAAACTAAATTTTTTCTTTTTGCTATTCTTATGATTTTAACAGCTGCTAAGAAAGACACAGCATTCCTTTCCTAACCATTAGTGATTTGCTTCTGTGCAGATTTGTCTATCTGGAGCTTCCAGCTGCTGCCAAGACCCCTTGCACCAGGTTCCGCTGGTGGCAGCCTGTGTTCTCTGGGGAGGACTATGACCAGTGGGCTGTCGATGACATCATCATTCTGTCAGAAAAGCAAAAACAGATCATCCCAGTTGTCAACCCAACTTTACCCCAGGTATTTCCCATGTCTATAATCCAAGAAGACAATTACAAAAGTAGATAGGATTAAAGAACTTCTTACTTCCCCAAGGATTTAGTACTTGAACATGTAATATAAGTTTTCTGCGTGTGTACTTAATTTTTGTTTGCAGTTAATTTTTGTTACCTCTTTATGCTACTAGTTCCCAGATTATTTAGATGTAAAAAATAAAAAAAAACCTATGAAGTCTGGCCAAGTCATCAAAATGATTATTAGTGTGATTATAAAATTAGATGCAAAATGGCAAAATATTTTCAGTTATTATATCATCAGAACAAGAAATTCATTCAAAAATTAGTTAATTTAGCAATAAAAATTAACAATAAAAAATTAGTTAAATTAGAGATTATGCTGTATTTTCCTAGAAATACAAATGGAACATTGTTCTACATGTCATGAACTGAAAATTTCTTTGTTTACAAAGCTATCAAATTGCCTTTCTGTGTTGTTTGTATTGTTTCTATTAGAACTTTTATGAGAAGCCAGTTTTTGATTACCCTATGAATCAGATGAGTGTGTGGTTGATGTTGGCTAATGAAGGAATGGTTAAAAATGAAACTTTCTGCTCTGCCACGCCATCAGCCATGGTATTTGGAAAATCAGATGGGGATCGATTTGCAGTAACTCGAGATTTGACTCTGAAACCTGGATATGTGCTACAGTTCAAGGTATTTATGCACAAACTTCTTCCCAGGGCAGGTCAAGGAGCAAAACATCTTCCATATTTATAAGTGAAGTTGACAAAGGATGCAAATTTTTTTATGCTATTAAAGAAGGGACTCAAACAACATTTCAATAATCTTAAATGGCCGTTTTTTTAGCTCTACTCAAAAGGAAACAGCTTATCACTTTTTAAGGAGCCCTAGACGTTATAGCTATGTCATTGTATTTCTTTAAGTGCCTATGGAACTCTACTAGAATTAAAAAAAAGGAAATTGACTTTTAGGAATTCAATCTGATTGTGACAATGAATCCCATGCTTCTGAATGATAATAGGTAAGTTCTCTTTCAGTTTACTAGTGCTTTTAGGACTTGTGAGTTATTTTATGTTTTTACTCTAGAAATTTTTGAAACAATTTCTCTTCCTTTGATTCTGTCAGTTTCTAATTTAATTATCATTGCTCCCTTAAAAGCTTGTTGTTTTTCAGCAGTGTGATAAAACATCATATAGCAAGTATTTACTTTGACAAGCCCTTCTTTTCAGAAGCCTAATCAAAATTTCATTGTGTTTATGATAAAATCCCATTGGTGAATTCTGGGGTCGAAAGTAATGCAGTTTTAATGAGCTAGCACAACTACATGCTAGCTTACATAACGGCAGGATGCAGATGCTAAATAATTTACAAATGGAATTATTAAAGAGATCAGATGTTTATAGGCAGCTCTTCAAATATAGTTTCCACTGGTCTGTAAACAAGGAAGTTGATTACTGAACTGTTTTCCTCTGTTTAGATTGTGATGCTAAACTACAATGGAAAAGCCATTAATAACAATATATGACTCTATGTTAATATGTTGGTACTGCCTAAAGTGGCAACAAAATAACAGCAACAGCAAATACATTTCCAGAATACTATGCTGTTTCTCATCTGATACCTTTTTTTTATTTAGTTAGCCATAAAATCAAGATAGTATAGGTCTTAAAGTCTGCAAGATAGTATTCTAAAGTCTACAAAATCTAAATAAAGAAAACATTATTAAATGTTCCAGGTCTTTAAACAACCAGTAAGAATGAATAATGCCTAAGAAAACTCTCAGCTCTCAGATTATACCAGCAGACTATTGATTTGTGGCTGTTAGTTCATGATATATAATATGGGTCATTTGGGGATTGACAATATATATTTGGCATCTCTAAGAAGAACTTGGTGTCATTTATTAAAAAAAGTACAGCACTGGTACATTTTATGTGCATATCAAACACTGGGTGCTAGAAAAATGTGGCCCTAGCTCTCAAGGGTCTCAGAAACTAGTAAGTGAGCCAGAAAAGTGAACAGTCACAACACAGTCACAATAGTACCAGTATTATAGCAGAAATAGGCTCTGGATGCTACAAAAGTACCTAGCATAGTACCTGGCATGTGGCAGGTGCTCCAAAAATATATTAGTTGAATAAATGGGTGGGTGGAAGGAAGGAAGGAAAGAAGGAAGAGAGGGAGGGAGGGAGGGAAGAAGGGAGGAAGGGTTGAAATTGGGAAATCTCTGGAAATACAGAGATTTAGCCAGCTGAACAATGGAGGGGGAGGATTTCCAGTTAGAGGGAACAGAATGCGCAAATATATGGAAATACAAAGAAGTGCAAATGAGAATGGAAAATTTGAAAACTTTAAAAAATTTAGAATGTACCACAGAGGTGACAAAGTTGATCCTAATTGGCTTTATATGACACACTAAGACCCTTGGACTTTAACCGAAGAGCAGTGAGCCATGGACTGTAGGAATCAGACCTGTGTTTCTGATTATTCTGGCAGCAGTATGGGGGTTACCAGAAGGGGAAACTGGAATCAACAAGTACATTGATTCATTAATTTATTCAGCAAATATTTATAAAGCCTCTCCTATGTGCCAGGGTCTGTTCTAGGCTATGGAAAGAAATAGGAACAAAGAGTGTGAACTAGAGTGGTGGAGGGTGGTCACCATTTTATAAAGGGTTGTCAGGTTAGCCTCACTGATAAAAATTACTTTTAAGTTAAGGCCTGTAAAAAGTAAAGAAGTCATGGAGCTATCTGGGAAATAGCATTCCAGACACAGGGAACAAAAAGTACAAAGTCCTTGAAATAAGAATGTGCTTGGAAAAGTTCAAGAAATCATAAGGACACCTTTGTGACTAGAGCAGAGACAATGAGAAAAGGGAGATAGATGGGAAAAATAAGGTCAGTCATTGACTTCTGTGAATAAAATGGCTAACAGAAGAGTGACATACTCTGATTTAGGCTCTTAAAAATCACTCAGGCAACTGGGCTAGGGGTACAATGGCAGAGGCAAGGGCAGAGACAGAAAGACCAGCTGGGCTACTGTTGCAATGATCCAAGCAAGAGATGATGAAAACTTGGACATGTGTAATAGTGGAAGAAGCATAGAAAAGTGTTCAGACTATTGAGTAATTCTGAGTAAATTAAGAATGCAAGAGCAGCCATCGATGTAAGAAATAAGGAGTCCAGGTTAAGGCACAGCATGAGGTTCTATAAGTAGGTGGATCTGAGAGATGTTAAAGGAGTCTAGTCAACAAATGATTTATTGGTGACCTATTGGACGATGGAATGGATTCTAGAATGACTCCCACATTTCTGGCTCCAGTCACTGAAACTGGAAATATGAGGGTAGACCTAAAAAAAACAGAATTATCTTCTGGAGGGCAGGCCTCTTGTAGTACAGGCTTCCCCTGCTAGGTGAGTGTTCTTGGAACCCATCTGTATCAGTGTACCACATGGTGGTATTGTGAGAGGCTGCATTCAGCGTCAGTGATTTTTTTCTGAAGGCTCTTTCAGTGTTTGCCCATTTCATGATGGGTGATTTATGAGCGCACCTGCCCACACTGTGCTGAGTGTCCAGCAGTTTTTGACCAAAAATGGCATGACCCCTGTGCCCCACCCTCCCTATTCACCTGATCTCGGCCCTAGAGACTTTTTTGTTTGTTTGTTTCCCTGAGTGAAAAAAGTCCTCAAAGGGAAACATTTTGCCAGCATGGAGTAAATAAAATGAAAAAAAAAGGACAGGAGCACTAAAAGCCATGAAAATAGACAAGTTCAAAAATTGTTTGAGTAGTAGAAAAAAAGTCTCCATAAGTATATTGCATCAAATGGAGAGTATTTTGAAGAAGACTGAAGATTAAACACATAAGAATAAATACACAATTTTTTATAAAAACATTTCTGCTTTGGGGAGTTCCTCCCCATACAGTAGAAGGATTTGTTTTGGGGTGGTGGATGATGAGAATATGTGTGGACTTGTGGAACTATGGTTGCCTGAGGACTGTTGAATTGGAAATGCACAAGAAGCAGTTATGGACATTGTCCAGAGAGCTGGAGAGAGGCCATATCTGGGGGCCATAGGTATTCAGATGGGATTTGAAATTATTGTGAGATTATGAGCATATATACAGTAAAAAGATAGGAATGCCAACAATTACATCCTACGAGACATCAAAAGTTAAGAGGCAGACTAAATGATCAATTTTAAAAAACTCAGCTTGTTACAGAATTGTAAGTTCCATTGACTTATCCACTTTAGACACAATGGCTTTTGTAATAAGTCTAAGACAAAATGCTATGTAGTATGCCCAGCATGACTACTTGTACCACATGGCAACCAAAGCCTATGCTTACTAATGGGTAATGTATTAAAAGGAATTTCTATTATAAGAGTTAAATCACACATCTGAAAGGATCAAACCTTTACTGATATTCTTGACTCTTAATTATATGGGGGGGACCCCAAAAAACTCCCAGAATTTATTTATAAAAAATTGTGTATTTATTCTTACATGTTTCAACTTCAGTCACCTTCAAATTACTCTCCATTTGATGCAATACTCCTATTAAGACTTTTTCTACTGCTCATACAGTTTTTGAACTCATAGAATTTGATGCCTTTTAGTGCTTCTGCTGTTTTTTGTCTCACACCTTCCACATTGGTAAAACATTTCCCTTTGAGGACTTTTTTCATCCAGGGAAACAAAAGAAAAAGTCTCAAGAGCTAAGATCAGGTGAATAAGGAGAGTGAGGCACAGGGGTCATGCCATTTTTGGTCAAAAACTGCTGAACACTCAGTGACATGTGGGCAGGTGCACTTGTAAATCTCCCATCATGATATGAAAAAATGTGTTGAGTCTTCAAAAAAACTTCACTGAGAGGACTTCAGCCAAGACAGAGGCATAGGTAGATATGCTTTGCCTCCTTGCACAACCAAGAGAAGGGTAACAATAAATTTAAAAACAAAAAACAACTAGAACTGCCAGAAAATTGAACTGTATGGAAGTTGAACAACCACGGAGTTAAAGAAGAAACATTCATCCAGGCTGGTAGGAGGCACAGAGATGGGCAGCCTGGGTGACAGGATGCATGGCAAGGTGTCAGCTAATAGAACAGGCAGTACCACATTCACATGCGAATAAGCTGGAAGGAACAACTGGGGAGCAAGACAGACCATGCAACCCAGGGTTCCAGCACAGGAAACTAAAGCCTCAAAACCTCTGGTGGTGAAAATCTGTGGGGGTTGCAGCTGTGGGAAAAACTCCCAGCCTCACAGGAGAGTTTGCTGGAAAGACCCACAGGGTCCTAGAACATGCATAAACCCACCCTCCTGGGAATCAGCACCAGAAGGGTCGACTTTGCTTGTGGGTAGCAGGGGAAGTGACTGAAAGTGGGGTGAGAGGCGAGCAAGGAGCATTGTTCCCTCTTTTACCCCCTCTCCACATATGGCACCGCAAAGCAATTAAGTCGGTTGCTCCACCCTGGTGAATACCTAAGGCTTGGCCCCTCAAAACATGACAAGTATGCAGAGACAAATAAATATGGTCCAAATGAAAGAAAAGATCAAAACTCTAGAAAAAGAACTGGGCCAAGAGGAGATAGCCAACCTATCAGATGCAGAGTTCAAAACACTGGTAATCAGGATGCTCACAGAAATGATTGAGTACAGACACAAAATAGAGGAAAAAGTGAAGGCTATGCAAAGTGAAATAAAGAAAAGCATACAGGGAACCAACAGTGAAGAGAAGAAAATCGGTACTCCAACAATTTGGAGCAGAAGGAAGATATAAACATTCAACCAAAACAGAACAAAAAAACTCAAAGAAATGAGGAGAGGCTTAGGAACCTCTGGAACAACTTTAAATGTTTCAACATCTGAATCATAGGGATACCAGAAGGAGAAGAAGAAGAACAAGAAATTGAAAAATTATTTGAAAAAATAATGAAGGAAAATTTCCCTAATCTGGCTCAGGAAATAGATGTCCAGGAAGTACAGAAAATACAGAAAGTTCCCAAAGAAATTGGATCCAAGAAGAAACAGACCAAGACACATCATAGTTAAGTTACCCAAGATTAAAGTTAAGGAGAGAATCTTAAAAGCAGCAAGAGAAAAGGAGACAGTTACCTACAAAGGAGTTCCCATAAGACTAAGACTATCAGCTGATTTCTCAAATGAAACCTTACAGGCAAGATGGGGCTGGAAAGAAGTACTCAGTCATGAAAAGCAAGGACCTACATCCAAGATTGCTCTATCCAGCAAAGCTATCATTTAGAATAGAAGGGCAGATAAAGTGCTTCCCAGATAAGGTCAAGTTAAAGTAGTTCATCATCACCAAGCCCTTATTATATGAAATGTTAAAGGGACCTATGTAAGAAAAAGATCAAAACTATGAACAGTAAAATGACAGCAAACTCACAACTATCAACATCTGAACCTAAAAAACAAAAAGAAACCAAGCAAACAACTAAAATGAGAACAGAATCACAGAAATGGAGATCACATAGAAGATTATCAGTGGAGAGGGGGAAAGGGGAGAATAGGGGAAAAAGGTAGAGGGAATAAGAAGCCTAATTGGTAGGTACAAAATAGGCAGGGGGAGGTTAAAAATAGTATAGGAAATAGAGAAGCCAAAGAACTTACATTTATGACCCATGGTCATGAACAAAGGGGAGGGATGGTGGTGGGAAGGGGGTGCAGTATGGATGGGTATAAAGGGGAGAAAAAATGGGACAACTGTGATAGCATAATCAATAAAATATTTTAAAACATTTTTTAAAAGGAAATTCACTGAAGGCGAACACAGCCTGTCACAACACCACCAGCTGGTGCACTTATACAGATGGGCTCCTAGAGCACTCACCTAGAGGGGGAAGCCTGTACTACAAGGGGCCTGCCCACCCTCCAGAAGATAATTCCAGGGTTTTTTAGGTCCTCTGTCATATAAATTTGGATTTGTGAGCCACAATAAAACTTTTACTAGCCAATTTATAAATCCTTTTGAGAGATGCTTTCTTGGCCTGACTATGGAAATAAGGAAAATATGGAATCTCCTTTTGAATGACTGCATCATGCTACTGATACACATAAGGAGGAAGTGGTTGACCTTATGAACTCTGGTCCAATATTATTTGTCTATGGCCCTACCTTTCTTTCATCCTTTATTCTTTGGTAATTATTGTGTTATTTTGAGTCCTTCCATTTTTTCTATAAAATTTTACCTCTTTTTTCATAGTCTTATATGGTAAAATTCTATGGTAGCTCCCAATAACAAATGAAATAAGATATGACTATATTATTTATCTAAGATAGCATGTAATTAAATAAATATCAGGAAAAGAGCTTGACATTTATAATTACCAAAAGATAAACTAAGGCTAATAAAATAATTTATACATTTATTAAATTAGAAAGAAACTGTTTAAACTAGAATAATACTCAGTGTTGTGATAAAACTGACTCATCTGAAACCAATTGATAAAAAATGAACATATATAAATAGAAAATTTAAAGTGTCTACATTTGACTCAGTAATACTGTACCTAGGAATTCATCTGGTGATAACAAATTAATTGAAGAAAGAATATTCATTCTTTGTAATGCTTCATATAATAATAAAACAATATATTAAATAGAAAGTAAGAAGGAAGTTCTAGAAGTGTGATAACTTGGACTATATGACCAAAATATATACTCCTTTATAAAGATTAGAAGATAAAAAATAGAGAAATATTTATGCTAGGGCATTGGGATTTAGGTTGAATTTTTAATTTTTTTAATAGTTAATCTGATAATGACATTCCTCTACATAAATGCACAAAGCAACCAGAGTTTTATTTCTGAATTATTCTGCTTATTTGATGCTGTGACAAACACTAACCTCTTACATCTACATTGACAATGATTTCTTACTGGGCTTTGGCAAGAGAATTGAATAAAGATGTTTGCTCCACTAAAGCAAAGAGGACAGCCCTCTCTTCAGGTAACCTTCATTTTCTGAAGAGGACAGCTTTTCATCTTCTGCTTCCCTCTGTTTATACCATCTGGGAAAGGAGAAGAAAACATTTATTGGCTTCTTGGCTTTAGTCCAAGGTTCCAACATCACAGATACTGCACTTCTCTCTTTCCTCCTATAATCCCCCAAAATTCACAAAATGGGCAACTGGCTGAGCTTTCTACTAAAAAGTGCCTATTGCTTGCCTAAACAAAGATTTCCAGAACTTATGGAAGAGTCTTCAAGTCTTATCATTGTCGGTTTAATGCAAACTCAGTAGAAAGGGGCCTCGCTGCTATAGCACTTAGTTTGCTAAACGATGACTTGGAGCTAAAATCTTGTCTACTTATGGCTTTCCTTTCATAGCTAAACATAGGGTGTGCCAATCAGTTCAGCAGTGCTGCCCCAGTTCTTCTTCAGTACTCTCATGATGCTGGTATGTCCTGGTTTCTGGTGAAAGAAGGCTGTTACCCAGCTTCTGCAGGCAAAGGATGTGAAGGAAACTCCCGAGAACTGAGTGAGCCCACCGTGTATCACACTGGAGAATTTGAAGAATGGACAAGAATCACCATTGTTATTCCAAAGTCCCTTGCATCCAGGTAAAGTGACCTTTCTTATTATGTGCTGTAGCTGCTGTTTCTTGGGAGCATAAATTTATCTCAATATATTTATTTCATGCATCTTAATAACCTAAAAGAATTCATATAATCTAGCTTTATCTATTCAAGTAATAACTGTTGAGGAAAAGACCCTGGAACAAAATTCCCAGAGTAGAGATGTTGGGTGTGTGTGTGTGTGTGGGGTGTGTGTGTGTGTGTGTGTGTGTGTGTGTGTGTATACACATGCTCATCTTTATGCTTGTAAAACATATTCATTTACTCATTTATTCATCTGTCCAACAAATATATATATATTAAGCACTGTTCTGGGCACTGGGAATACAGCTGTGAACAAACAATGTTAAAGGCTAAAAGAGTTATAAAACATTATTATATCAGCTTTCACTTGACATAGATTTTTGATAAATTAGTGCTTTCCTGTATAGACAATTTGAAATATCTCACAATATAAAAGACCATTTTAAATGACTATTACAATAAATATTAAAACAATAGAGAGAAAGATTAAAATTCAGTTGACAGAGGAATGAAATAAATGGATCAAGAACTTCAAGTGAATTAGTTTCATTAATGGGGCAATAAATTTAACTTAGTTTCTTGGCAGCTAGGACAAAGGGGGGAAATATAGGATCATTTAGTTTTCATTGTTGGGTAAAAAGAAACAAAATGTATACATTCTGATTTTTTTTAAAGATACACTTTTTTCCATGCTCAACATTGTAGAATAAATATATAGTATGTGTATGTATCCTTATGCCAGGTATAGTACCTAACAGAGATCAGTGTTTTTAACTGTCACTTTATGAAAGATAAAGGAACATTTTTCAAGTGGACCTTTCTAAAGTATATTTTATTGCTGATACTATTACAGTTGTCCCAGTTTTTTCTCCTCTTTATCCCCTTCTGCCCTGCATCCCCCTACTCTCCAGCAGTCCCCTCCCTTTAGTTCATGTCCATGGGTTGTACATATAAGTTCTTTGGCTTCTCCATTTCCTATGCTATTCTTAACGTCTTCCTGTCTATTTTGTGCCTACCAATTATGCTCCTCATTCCCTTTAGCTTTTTCCCCTGCTCTCTCCTTCAACCTCCCCACTGATCACTTTTTAGATGAACCCTAGAACATAACATTAAATTATGATTCAATCAAGGCATTTCTGTGCAGAGCCAATGTAATGCAGTAAGTATATTTGCACTGCTTTCTATGGATTTAACTCACTTTGTGGCTGGCATAGTCATTTATGTCATTTAGTAATATATTTAGTTTGCTTCCTTTCCAGAATATTGTAAGATTATGTTATCCCCATTCCTTTCAAAGTTTGTCTCAGTCTAATGAAATATGAGTGAAAATGAAACATGTGACTTTAAGAGCCCATGTACATTTCGCCATGTTCCCTGTTTCATAAAAGCATGTTTTAAGATGAAGCTTACATTAATCTGGGTGTCTGAGTGTCTACAAGAAGCAGACTTCCTTGCCAGCCTCCACTGGACGTATAGTATAATCAAGAAATAAGCTTTTGTTAGGTTAAACCACTGAGATTGGGAGCTGTTTGTTACCACAGCATAACTTATCTCATCCTGACTGATGAAATGATAAAAACTTAGCAATCTATAGGATGACTTATTCATAAAGTTCTTGGATACCATTCTGTTTGTGATTCTTCTACCAAATTGATCACCAAATTTGCTGTGCATCATCTAGCTAGATAAGTTGATTGTGTTCTCTGCCTCCCTTGTTACTTACATGTTCATCCCTCAAAAATTTATACCATAGGCTTCAGTAAACACACTTGCCATCACAGCATCACCACTAAGTTGCTGATCTCATGATCTACACCAGGCCAGGGTGTGGGCATGGCCCCATGGATATGCCTCCCCTGGATCCATAGGCCCGTAAACTAAAAAGACAAGTTATCTACCCCACCCATATCCAACCCTGCTGAGACAATGACAGGATAACCACAATAGACACTCCCACACATAGCAGCCACTGGTTGTAGGAATTCTGAAAGCCAGCAAGGTACTTGTTACTAGTGACTCCTTCTTCCACAAAATAATGTCCAGAGCAAAAAAGTTTCCTTGAGTAAGACAGTTCTGCTCCCCAATCTATTTTTCTTCCCAGCTGCTGGTTCTACTCTTTAGGCGTCACCCTCTGAAACACCTTTCCTTTTCCATAAAAACATATCTGTGTTTGCAGCTAAATCCCCGTCTCATCCTGCTTTCTGCCTGTCTCAAGCTGGACATGCAGCCCTTGTATTGCTCACCCCCACCGCTGCTTTCTTCTCATGTTTTTCTGAAACTGGCCCAACCACAGCTCTTCCAAATAGATAGGTGCAGCATGCCATGAAGTTGGGAACATCAGGTGGTGCATCTTTGCTACAATGACTAGAATAGAATATCAGGGTGCTGGAAGACATCACTGTGAAAATGGTTAACAGAATCAAGAGCCAAAGACACAAATCTGGTTTAAGCCACCAGAGCCAGATAATATACAGTGGAATATGAAGCTGTAGTTTGTGTAATAACCCAGTTGATAAAGCCACATATGAGAAATAAGAAAAACTTGTCCTTAATATCACAAAATGAGCCAATATTGTGAGGCTACCAATGTATCATTTTCTTGGACTTCAGCTTTTGGTAGAAGAAATATTTTCCATTAGAATCCAGCTTCCTCGTTAATTTGAATAACATCCATTTTATTCGTTAATGGCATTCCTGAAGAAGAGCAATCTGCTGAAGAATAGTAAATATGTTTCTACTTTAACCCAAGTAAATGAGCTGCTGTTGTCCCTTCTGCAGTATGTTACACTCAGATATCTCCAAATACAATGTTGGAAAGCTGAGAATTCTAAGTGTGAAAGTTGTCAAAATTTGAAGCTATTTTGCCACAAAGCAACGTGCTTATAATAGTTATAAACGTGCAATAATCTAGAACATTGCTCTCTCACAAATAATTCTAAGCTGATTTCTTAAAGGAGCAGTTTGCGCTCATATTCATTTTCTTGGCTCTTGCCCACAGAAGAGAGACATTGATGATGGGCAATACAAGCTGGCACATCCCTCCAGACTCTCAGCAGCACCCCCAACCACACAGTGCCATGCAGCCTGCTCTAGGTGCTTCATGCAGAATGCAGAAAGTTGGTATCTCTGGGGAAGGCTAGAAATACCATTGCTTAATAATCGGCAGAATGTCCCCTCCACGACCACCCATCACCTGTGCACCTCTGCACAGGAACCTTCCTTGTTTCAGACGCTGAGGTATCACCTCTCTGAAGTGTGGTCGGGGAAGAGGGTGGTGTAAAAACCAATTCTTCAGGTCACTCAGGCATCCTCCAAATAAAGGTTATTGGCGAAGGGGGCAAAGATAGAGTCTTGTCTTTTATTTCTTCTTTAACTGAAACATGCAGGACAAAGGGGAAATTTTATTCAATAATCTGATAGTTAAACCACACTATAGTTTATTTCTTATAAAATTACATAAGATAAAATTCTGTCTTTTTCTCAATTATTACTTTTTTCAACTCCTTTCCAGACCTTCCAGACTATCAGGTCAAAGACCTCTGTTACATACTATTGTAGCTCTGTGACCTTCTTAATGATGATCGTTATCAGAGTTGCACATTTACATTCCTTTGTGCAGGGGTTTGATTAAGTGTGTCTCCTCACTCAGCTGTGGGCTACCTGGAGACGGGAACTGTGTAGGATTTCTGCTTCCCATCACATGCCTAGCCCCGGCGCTGTGCCTGTCATGTTGTAGCACTTGGTAAATGCTGGTTGAATGAAGGGTTGATGAATGAGTAATAATTATGTTTTCCAAAATAAATTTAATGCTATTCAATAAGAAGTCGTAGTTCTAAAGTCTACTGTGTCTCTCTAAAAAGGCACAAATAGCACATGCACACATGTGCACCCATACATTAATAATTTCAAAGCTATCTCTCCTCTGTTTTTTAGAACGTTAACTATGTGGAATCTAAACATTCTTATTGGCTTAACTTCAGAGGACTTATTCCTTACCTCCTTCTCTCTATTATTATATTTTTTAATAAGTTATTACTAGTTCTTCCTTCTATTCTATCAACTAGAGATCACTAAATTAATTGTGCTCAATCCCAAGAGTATGCTACTGAAAGAACAAAGTAGCAATAGGCATAGGAACCAGGCACAATTGGAGAAATTTCAATGAAGCAAATATTGCTTAAGTTGTGGTCAGTGTAACCTCTGTTGCTTTGATTCACACCTTCCATTAAAATGCAACTAGCAACAATTACAAGAAGGAAAAGAGGTGCCAACTCTTGCCCTTTCATTCTGAAATATAGATTTCCAGCAAGAACTCTCCGCTGTGATCCACCATGTCCTGCCTGGACTCACCCTATTAACAAATGATTAATCATTTTGTTTTAAATATTTAAATATGGATTCATTAACACTGAGCTCCTGAGGTCCTTTACCTTATCAAATACCTCACAGCACTCTGTGCTTCTGGGTTCTGTGGCAGCCTTAGGATCTACAAACGGGGTGCCACCTTTTCTCTGGCCAAATTAGACCTTGATTTTTTTTATTATTATAATGAAAATTACAGGACCCCAAGAATCAGAGATTGGTCAAAGGGCTTCACTTGCAGATTACTAAAGCTTCTAGAATTCTACCAAAAGGTAGGATTTTTCAACCTTCTAGTGCATCTGAGCTTCCGTCTGAGGCTGCTTCTTTCATGTAGCAGGGCATTTGATGGAGAGATGACATCGTCTTGCCCGGGTGGGAGAGCTTGTGTGGAGAAAAGAAGTTGTTCTTACCTCCTTTTTAAAAACTTTCCATGGGGTAAAAGTTGTGGACCCATGTTTCTCTAGGTTCTTATAGAAAAATAAAAAGAAAGGCAAATATGACTTCTATTGAAATAGAACTTATATCAGGGAACTAGTGTGTTTTCCTCTTTTATTATAGATATGCAGCCTACATTTTGGAAGGGATACAGAGGCCTTACCATTTTCCTTAAGACAATTGGCAAAAACTACTGTTCTTCAATTCTATTTACTTCTTTTCAGAGGAAAAATATCTTCACAGGCTAAATAATGTTACAACATCAATGGGAGGAATTTTCCCAAGGTCCATGACTCTACAACTGTATTTTTATTTTTTCTTTTCCTTTCTTTTTTTGTTTTTGTTTTTCTAATATTTAATTCAACTGTCTTTTGCCTTAAAAAATAAGACCAATGTATTTTGAATTAGCTCGAAAGAAAATAAAAGATGTGTTCATCTTGCTCTTAACAGACTAAGAAAGTTTGTAAAGACTTTGTGTTAATAGATGATTAATCTCTGGATACTTTTACTCCTAGTTAACAACACTGTTGGTTACATTTTGCAAATTTGCCAAAAGTGAGTAACTTAAAACAATAAAGAAAAAAGCCATAGTTATACTTCAGTGTTGCCAGATTACCAAAGCTATTTGAAGAAGCAGAAAGAAATGTGTTCTGATACTGACATATTATTTTCACAATAAAAGAGGGAGAAGGAAACATCTTTGTCTACAGTTATCTTTGACAATCTTCATTACTCTTTAAGATTCTTTACCCTTGTTTACTGACTCACTCCAAAGTCTATAAATATTGGCAGCAAAATTAATAGAAATCTAGATAGCATAATCCATCTTCCCTCTTTGATATGAATAGAACTGAGGAAGAAAATGTATTTTCCTGGTATAAAGTTATAGATGTGTGCAGGGTTTCCATATATTGAAGAAGAAAAGGGATATATTGAAAGGATTGAAAGAATTGGAAAACAACTGGGACAAGCATTAATTTGGCGGCCTCAGGACTCTTGTGGGGGCGGGGGGGAAGGACTGGGCAGCAGCCCAGCCCACTGGTGTTCCAGGATTTTGAATCCAGGATTGTTTCAAAATCCTGGAACACGGTCCCTCCTTTGTTCCTTGGCAGTTACCAATGTTCACTGGCATCCCATCTGGTTGCTAAGGGTTCATAGAATGAGCTTCTTGGAGATTTGAAAATGAAAAGTGAAGAGGAAAGCAACAGGTGGGAATAAAGCTGTCAGTACAAACTTCACTCTTCCCTACCAGAATCACATCAGCGACAAGTAGCCAGAGCCCTTTTATATGTCCTAACAAGGAACATTCTATATGGTGGTTGCAAAAACTTCCAGATAGCCTCTTAAAATATACATGTAAAAGCCTATGGTATGTTCCTGGACATCAAAAATCTTTTTGTACCTGATATCCTCATGATATTGGAACATTTTATACCAAAGAAGAAATCAAGGAGAAGTTTTGAAAAGATCTAAGAGAGACAACTTATGAAGGTGAAGTGTCCATTCCAGCAGATATGATTTTTCAAATAAATACTTAATCTCTCTTGAATTCTTCTAACTGTTGCATCATTGAGTGCTTAGTTATGAGATGTTGGTAAAGGAAACACATGTTGTTTTTCCTAGCAGTAAGATCAGATTCCGATGGATCCAGGAGAGCAGCTCCCAGAAGAATGTGCCTCCCTTTGGTTTGGATGGAGTGTACATATCTGAGCCTTGTCCCAGTTATTGCAGTGGCCATGGCGACTGTGTTTCAGGGGTGTGTTTCTGTGACCTGGGATACACCGGTAAGGCCTCAGACATGTGTCTGATTGTTTGCAAAATATGTATCTTCATGTCACTTTTTCCAAAGAAATAGATTCTAAGCTTCTTGTTCTTTAAATCCTAATTGTAGGAATTTGCAACCTAATAAGCACATGAGGTGTTAAAATATTTTTTAGTTTTGAGCCTCCTAAAGAAAAAAAAGTAACATAAATTTTTATTAGTAATACTAATAATAATAATTAACATTGTTTAAGTTCCTACTTCATGCTGTGCACTATAGTAAGTGCCTATTATTCCATCTTATTTAATTTTAACAATAACCTGTGCTAACAATAATACTGTGATTGTCCTTGTTTGCCTTTGAGGAAACTGAGGCACAGAGAGATTTAGTAACTCTGATAAAGTTGCACAGCTAGGAGTTGCCAGAGCTAGGCTTCACCCCTTGTAGTCATTTGCTAAAATCCAAGCCCCAAGCTTCTAATCACTTGGCTGCAAGGGCTCCCTGTGCTCTATCAATTCCTTTTTATAGAAATGTAATTTTATACCTTTAAAGTGAAAATCAACTTAGGGAATGATAAATTCAAGACAACTGAAGAGCAGTTTAAAAGAAAAGTATTTTCTGGCTATAGTCAACCTCTATGTTATTACAAGCAAAAATAAAAAAAAGGAACTGAGATTAAAGAATAAAATTAAAGAAAAAATATTATAGGCTTCAAAAACTTTTTTATAATTTTTCCTGGAGGCAACTTCAAAAGAATCCTTCCCAGCTTTTCAGTGCCTGCCCTTGTGGAGTGTGACCAAAGACAAGCATATGTTGTCACAGGCCTTCTGTGTAGAGTGCTGTCACTTGTGGACCAGGATGGGGTTTTTTTAAACCTGGGATTAACTCTCCCTATTGGTCCTCTAATAGAAGGACAATAAACAAACTTAACTTTGGACAAAATCTCACTTTGTAGAAATCTCTCTGTAGCAGGAGCCATGGACATGTGTGGTTCCCAGTATCTCCCTATTCAAAAATAAACAATATGGAGGCAGAATAGCATTTTTGATGATGTTAGTGATGGATGCATTTCAGTCGAATAATTGTGAGACACAAATTTTCATGTGGTTTCTTTCCCCTAACACCTATGTAGATGCTTCCTTTGCTCGTGTACTGAATGTATCTCATAATATGTAAGGATTTCAACAAAGCCTGTCTTCTATGTATTTCTTTTCTCGGAAGCCGCACAAGGAACCTGTGTGTCTAATGTGCCTAATCACAGTGAGATGTTCGATAGGTTTGAGGGGAAACTCAGCCCTCTATGGTACAAGATAACAGGAGGCCAGGTTGGAACCGGCTGTGGAACACTTAACGATGGCAAATCTCTCTACTTCAATGGCCCGGGGAAAAGGGAAGCGCGGACCATCCCTCTGGACACCAGGAATATCAGGTAAGAAGTTAATTGGTACACTTCTCCATGAACATTGTCTTTACCACACCACATGGTCTCACCCAGCAATTTTCAACTGGTGTGCTGCAAGAATTTCTAAAACGTGCAATACTTGACTAGTCAGGGGCATCAAGCTCTTTTCCCTTAGATTGTCAAATAAAAAAATAAGCACAACCAACACAACAATAGACCTCTGATGTGAATAAATCAAAATTACACGTATTTTTTTTTGGTCAGGTCAGCAAAAAGTATATCTTTTGGTGTGCTGCAGAATTTTAGTAATTAGTTTATGTGTGCTGTGAGATGAAAAAGGTTGAAAATCACTGGTCTAGCCTAAAACACTCTATCCTGTTATTGAGGGTTTACATGTTAATGTTTCTCTATATAGACTCTGATGGGTAAAAATGAAGCATGACTTCAAGTCTGTAATAAAATAGGTAATTTCTACAAAAATTATACCACAATTCATTAATCAGTATGCAATCATTAAGGTGGCTTGTGTTGGCTTGGTTTGCTAAAGTTCTGCATTGTTATGAAGACAATTTGGTATTATTCTTAATGCCAGGTGAAACAAAGATTTTTTTTCAACTTTACATATTTTTTGTCTGAAAATGATGCATCCTGTTTATCTAAGTTTATTTGTATTCACTTAATTAAAACTGCCCCAGAAATTTAAAATAGCCACACTGACACCTACTGGTAAAATAAATAACTGCTTGGTTTTCCAGTCAAATGAAATAATAGTAGCACAGCTAAAATAAGTGGTGTGTTGTTGTTTTTTTCAATGAATTAAACTATTTGAGAATTGAGAGAAAGGAAAGTGAAGAAATGTTTGAAACTTTTAGACCTTATTCTCAGTAAAATCTGGGGTTCTGTGTCATATTTTTTGTTTTCCATCTCTTTGCCCTTCCTTTTGAGTCCCTCTCTCAGAAGTGTGCCTATCTCGTAGGCACTCTCTGTTGGTTTATTGTGGACTGAAGCATAATTTCATTCATACTGAGTTTCAGTTGTGAAGGAAAAAACCATCTCAGTCTAAGTCAGTAATAGTGGTAACTACCTGGCCCTAAACAAATGCATCATTCAGCTTCTTCTAAAAAAACAATTTTATTTCATGACTAATTATTGAAATTCTTAGGATGAACTGGATGCTGTGGTATACAATCTTTGAGTGCCTCAACCCGCCCAGTCCTGGTGGCATTTCCTCATTTAGCTTTGGCACTCCAGCGTCCTCTTCCCCGGGGTGGGGTAGCACTCTTGCCGCAGGTGGGGGGCCTTGGACACACAGCTTGTGTGTCCTGCTGCAGCGCTTGACCAGTGATGATGTTCCTTCTCATCTTGCTTCTGAGTCCCAGACCAAAGAGCTCATTTACTTAATGTTAGATTTTTCCCTCATCTTGAGTTTCCGAGAATAGGATTATCTTGATTTAAGGATTCCCATTTCAGTGATTTATTTAATTACATCAGACTATCACAGTGAAGTGGGGTTAAGCTGTTTCCTTTTGTTTAAATCATTATTACAGAATAAAATTAATATCCATATGAATTATTTTTTACTGTTTGCAGAATAACTTACTATATAATCTCTATTGTTTCTGCTGTCCATATGCTCTTTATGTTTGAATGTGATACTTAGGAATTAAAGGATTGTTTATGTGTGTCAAAATACAAAAGGTTTACTCTGTCATAAATTCAACTATTTGTAAGTAAACTAGAGTTTTTTTTCCCCTCCCAGACTCGTTCAATTTTATATACAAATTGGGAGCAAAACTTCAGGAATTACCTGCATCAAACCAAGAGCTAGAAATGAAGGTAAGCCGCTATAATTGATCAAAATCACAGCCTCTGATGGCAAATGAGTTCATTTTCCTCCAAAGATTGGGCCAGGATTTTGCAAACCGATCCACTCCCCTGAACCATTCTTTCTCTTCTCTCCTCCATCATGAAATGAATAGCTGCCTAGAGCCATGATCTCTAAGATTCCTCGCCCAGATCCTTAAGCCTGAAGAGCATCATGTCCGCTCTGGGTCAAAGTGCATTTGTTTTAGGGAACTCTGATCATGTATAACTCTCCACAGAGAGGGGGGGAAAAGGCAGAGACTTTAACATTTGGCATGGGGGCTAGAAACTTGTTTGTACAGGACATTACCGAACGCAGATGAAATGCTACTTTCTGCCCATAAATATTCTAGGGATACTAGAATCCTTGGGTAGAAGGAGTAATTCTTGGTAATAATAAACATTAACTTTAACTGAGCACACATTATATTTCAAGTGTTTTTTCTGTGCTAATTCATTTAATCTCCATCATATCCTTTTGCTGTAAGTACTATTAGTAGTCCTGTTTTACAGATGTAGAAGCTAAGGCACAGAGACATCAAGTAACTTATCAAAGACCATGCAGTTAATAAGTAGATGAACAGGGATTCAAACCACTCACACTCACTCCAGACCCCATGACTTAACCACCATGCTATATTGCCACTCTCTTTGCTCAGACCTCTACTCTCTCTACGCATCCATACCATCTTCTGCCTCAATGATTCAGTTCTGAAAAAAATACAGAAGGCTGGAAGCATACAAGGTGGCCTTCAGGAGTTCTACAAATGTGATGAGGTTTCTGAATGCTGGTTGGCTCTTAGCACAAAACCCATGGGCTCCTCAGATGGGTCCTCCTCCAAACCTTGACCTCATAGATGGCATGTGAAGAGTTTTGCAGCTTCTAAGTTTGTTATTGTTTCAGACATGACTTTGTAAAAACATATTGGCTTAAGTAGTACCTATTAGCCAGTAGAGCTACTGATAGCTCTGTTCATCAATTCTAAATGTCCTTGGCCATATCAGCACTAACTGAAAGCTTTCGTGACTTTTTCTGAGTATCTCAGTACTTTTAGTCTGGTAATTATCCAGATCATGTATTTATTGAAGCAGCAATCTAAAAACTTAAATAGACCATTTTGTGTTCCCTAATCTCTTCAACAATTATTTATTAAGAATCTGCTCTAAGCCAGACACTGCTCTAGTATGCTGGAGATACAGTGTCTCTAAAAGACTGAGGCATCAGTCATGACAAGCTAGGTTATGCTGCAATAACAAACAGCTCTCTAAGTTTCAGTGGGTTAAGACAAAAATAAGAAGATTTCTCCTTTATGCTATGTTTTCATCAGGCGTCCTCTGAGGTCCTCATTCTAGCACCTGGAATAATGAAGCAGCTGCTGGGTAGATTCTGGATATTGTTAACCATGTAGCAAATGGAAAGAGAGAATATATTGACAGGGACAAGAAGTTTAAGCTACCATGTTCCGGAAGGGGAAGAAACAGTGTGGCACTATTGACCACAACAGACTAAACCCCTGCCCTTAAGGGCACATACATTCCAGTGAGAGCAGTTAAAAATAAACAATAGGGAGGTGGGAGTGGGTGAGGGAAAATGGAGACAACTGTACTTGAATAACAAAAAAAGGAAAAAAATTTAATAAACAATAAAGAAAAGAAATAAGCAGATGTTAGATTGATGGGCTAGAGGAAAATAAATAAGCTGATAAGATGGAAAGTAAACTTATGCAGGGGAAGATGTTGATTTAAATAAAATGATCTGGGAGGGGGCCTCTTGCAGAGGTGACATTTAAATAGAAATCTAAAGGATGAGGAGGATCCAGCACAGCTCAGGGGAAGTTTTCCAGACAGAAGAAGCAGCAAAAGCCAGGAGGTGGAAAAGAACTGTGGTGTCAGAGAATCAGAAAGAAGGCCACTGTGGCTTGGGGCTCAAAAAGGTTGGGGAGTGGTCTGTAATAAGGGGCAGGCAGGAGCTGGGTCATGCAGGGTCTTGCTGGCCATGATAAGGAGATAGGGTCTGAATCCATATATGTGTGGAAACCAGCCGAAGGTTTTAGGCCAGCCAGCGCATACTATGGTAAGTTTTTACAAGATTACCCTACACAAACTATATGAAGTTCTAACAAATGACTGTTTCTCAAGCACACACTTTGCCCATGCAGAGACAGGAGTTTGAAGGGTGCAAAAAAGGACAGAGTCCTGTCCTCAGCACCTTTTTTCCTGATTGGTGAGGTAGAGTATTTTGATGTTTTCTTTAACCCTTGTAATAAAATTACTATTTTAAAATAGTTCGTGGTTGGGATAATGTAGCAATTTTGTGTATTACTCTTCTGAAATTACAAATCCATATCCGTATTTGCATATGAGCTACAAACAAGACCTCTGAGCAAAGTGTAACAGGGAGCATCCACCCAGGTCTGAGGCTCTCCTCTGTCCTTAATGTCTGATTGTGGTGCTGTTACATGCCCTTTGGGGAAAATGCCCTTAGGACCCTTTAGGAGAAAGCAACTTCCGCTCAGCTACTCTCGAGCCAATTTTCTTGGACTCACTGCTGGCCATGTAATTTATATCCCACGGGCATTTTTTAGCCTTTTATTAAAAACTGGTTGTTAAATGTAAATCTTTCTAAATCCTTGAACAAATCTTTTTCAGTGATGAAAGTAAAGATTTTTTTACTTACTCAAGCTGAAGTCTCAATTTACATATTTGGAATTAAAATCAAAATTAGGCTATTTTCAGTAAGACTGGGAAGAATACAGATTGAGTTGTAATTTAAAAAGAGAAATATTTTACATGCCTTACACACTCTGTAGATGAGCTAAAATGGCTTGGTTTAGTCAGATGTGCAATGTGTTAGGTGAGACAGCTAATGAGGCTCAGCAATTGATATAAAATACGGGTACTGCTGTTTCCCCTTATGGCGTTTCTCCACTCTCTTGTACTTATCTGGGAGGCATTTCTTTATTGTCCTTTGGAATTTGGGGGGTCCTCATTGCTGCAGACTTTGTGGCTGCCTAAAGGTGTCTGTGACTCTTCTAAAAAAATGATGAGGAGAAAGACAACAAACAGAAATCAAATGGAGTATCAACCTCAGGAGCCATACTTCCCATATTTTAATGTGCTGATCTCTTTGGAGGCTTGTTCAAGTGTGCATTCTGATTCCGTAGGACTGGGCTGGTATACTACATAACAAATTACTCCAAAACTAAGTGGCTGAAAGCAACAAACATTTGTCATCTACCACTTTCTGTGAGTGAGGAATTCAGGAGCAGCTTCCCCGGGTGGTTCTGCCTCAGGATTTCTCCAGAGGTTGCGCACAAGATAAAGGCCAGAGGGGGCAGTCATCTGCATACTCAGTTAGGGCAGGAGGATCTACAATATTCCCAAGATGGGAATCCTCAGTTACATGGCTTTTGGCAAGAGGCCTCCGTATCTCACTGTGTGGACCTGGCCATAGGCTGCTGGAGTGTCCTTATTACCTCTCAGCTGACTTTCCTCAGAGTGAGAGATCATGAGAGACAGCCAGGAAGAAAGTGCAATGCCTTTTATGGCCTAGTCTCAAAAGTCACATGCTCTCACCCTGTTTATTAGAAGCAAGTTACTATATCCAGCCTCATTTAAAAAGAGGATAATTGAGCTCCTCTTCTTGAAGGGAGGAGTGTCAAAGAATTTGGGGACATGTTCTAAAACCACCACAGGCAGGGCCTGTTCCCAGTTGATGCAGGTTCTGGTCCTTGGACAATACTTTCAAGTAGAAGATATTAGAAAGGATTTTATTGTCATGTTGCTTAATTTCTGGTACTATAGTCTACCTCCTGAGTAGATCACCGAGATAACTATTCTCTCTCTCTCTCTCTCCCTCTCTCATGCACACGCGCGCACACACACACATACACACACACACCCCTTATTAAATATAAACCATAGCTACATAAATTGATAGCCACAAGTAAAATTAAATTTTAAAGTGTCTGCTCTTTCAGCCACCCAAAATCATATTAAAAACACATAGGATATATTTTGAACAAGCATCAAAGTTTGGAGATTGGAGTTTTGCCAGACGCTCCTCAACTTAATGAGAATAAATGCTAGAAGCAGCCTAATTTCCATTTTCTTCAAGATCTTTGATGTAACTGTCTCCCTTCTCCAACACATGGGTCTTACCTCCACCCGAAGAAGCATTACCTGCCCATCTCTACACCTGTATACAGCATACTATCTCCTCAGAGTTTCTATTCTTTGAGCTATTTTTATCCTTTCACTAAAAATAATGATTTCTTCTATTTTAAATATGGCAGAATTGATTCTCCTGAGATTTCTAATTTTTTGTGTATTAGCCGTTATTGTTCCTGGCTTATTGTCAGCTCTTGTCAGACATAGTGGCAATAATTCCATGTGTTATCAATTAGCCTTAAAGGGATTTGTTTATATTTTATTATAATTCTTTAAACTTAATTTTAGTAAACTCTTAGTTATGCAGCATGATAAAATATTGAAATATTCTGGTCAGTTAATAGCAGGGGACTTAAAAAGTTATTTTATGCATGATTAATAATTTAAAAATTTCCAAAAAGATTAGAATATAACAAAATTAATACAACAAATACAGCTTTGCTAAATACAATTTCTGTGAATACTCAGAAATTACTATTCCATCATAATTGCTAATATGAAGTATTGGTTTCAGAAGAAGTTATGGAATAGGCAACTATATAGATGTCAAGAAAGCACTCCACCCCTCCCCATAAAAAACATATACATATTTACATATCTTCTGTTAATTCTCACTGTTTCATTGTTAGGAATTTTTCCTTTGCATTCAACATTACTCTTTCCCTGTGGCCTCTTTTAAAATAAAAATGTTTCTGGGAGAAGTAGCAGAGGTAGCACATGAGGTCCCATAAACTTTAATGTGCAGGCCCCTAAATCACATCATTTGGTAACAGACAGAGAGATGTTGGGTAGAGGGGGTGAGTGAAGGGGAGAAGGGTGACAGAGGAGAGTAGAACTAACTTTGGAGAAGTGAGGTCTTCTGTTTTGCAGTTTAATAATTTGGCTCCATTCAGACTTCAGTGACCAAGGTCTGACAACGTGTAAAGTGCCAGTAAAAGATCTTTCTGCATAGTAGAATTTCAAATCTGGCCTTGCTTACTGTCTGGGGCTTCAGCAGAAAACAGCACTACTTGATTTTGTGCTAGAGAGATAGAGATATTTCTTCTGAGTATATAATAATGATATGAGACTGTAATAATCAGGACAGAATCTAAAATTCAAATACAGAATCTGGAGTGGATTTTTATATTCCCCTTACCAACCTACTCACTGCTCAGAAAGCTGAGTGGTCTTTAAAAGAGCTTATGTATTTTTTTTTCTTCATTTGCTGGGAGTTGGTGCCTTAGAAACTGTCAGGAAATTGATGAGCCTTCAGGTCTACTAATTCATTCCTTGGAAGTTAGATGAATGTGCCCTCCTTCTATGAGACGCAATTTGAAGTTTCTGCTGCAGTCTTGCCATTTAGAAAATACTGTTCGTTGCCTTTTTGCCTCTAGGAAAGCTGTCCAAGTAACTGGATTTATGTCTTTTAACTCAGGGCTTATTGTTCAGTATTCAAACGACAATGGAATAGTCTGGCATTTGCTTCGAGAGTTGGACTTCATGTCCTTTCTGGAACCACAGATCATTTCCATTGACCTGCCACGGGAGGCTAAGACACCTGCAACAGCTTTTCGATGGTGGCAACCCCAACATGGCAAGTTACTGCTCACCCCAACTTTCTTGGTAGCATTTAGGTTATATAGTTAAAGCAACATTGTATTATGTGTTTCTTAATTTGCTATCAATTTCTAAACGATTTGATTTAAAAACATGGTCATGAAGATATGTATATTGTGTGTAATGAACTTTCTCTAACTGCCTTTCTTCATCTGATTTCAGGGAAGCATTCAGCCCAGTGGGCCTTGGATGATGTCCTTATAGGAATGAATGACAGCTCTCAAACTGGGTTTCAAGACAACTTTGATGGCTCTGTAGATTTGCAAGCCAACTGGTATCGAATCCAAGGAGGTCAAGTTGACATTGACTGTCTCTCTATGGATACTGCTCTGATATTCACTGAAGACATGGGTATATATTTTCACTAGACAAGAGAGAATATTGAGTTAACTAAAGGGCTAAATTAACTAAAACCAAAAAGGAGATCCTCTAATGCAAAACTGTGTGCATAACTGCCTGTGCTGAGGGAGGCTTGTGAGGGGGAAAAAGTTGTATTGTCCTCTAATATAACTTGGTGCACCCAAATGGCTTTCATTGGAACTGTCTTTCACAGAGCATGTATCATATGACTTAGGTTTCTTAAAAGAAGAGCAAAATATGTCTATCTGAAAACATTCCTATGTTTCCCAATTTGCAGAATTATAGACTTAAGACTATGTTAGCCCTTCTCAGGGTAGTGAAGTTTTTCCAGTTAGGCGGCTGCCTCCCCTGTTTTCAAGTCTATGCTGACCAGATAAAAATACTTGCCATGAGACATAAAGTCGAAGCACATATGAGGCACTAAAAATAAACCATGATTTTCATTTGCTATTGAATGTGTCCATGACAAGCATAAATGCTAAATAAGAAAAGGGAGCACAATTATACACTGCCCATTAAATTTTTCCTTTTTGTAGGAAAACCTCGTTATGCTGAGACCTGGGACTTTCACGTGTCAGCATCGACCTTCTTACAGTTTGAAATGAGCATGGGCTGTAGCAAGCCCTTCAGCAACTCCCACAGCGTACAGCTCCAATATTCTCTGAACAATGGCAGGGACTGGCATCTTGTCACCGAAGAGTGTGTTCCTCCAACCATTGGCTGTCTGCACTACACAGAAAGTTCAGTTTACACCTCGGAAAGATTCCAGAATTGGAAGCGGATAACTGTCTACCTCCCACCCTCTACCATGTGAGAATTGTCATTTGGCTACATATCAGAACTTTAGTTTCTGTCACCTAATTTGAAAATAATTGTGATTCCACTTGGCAATTCTATTACTTCCTCATGAAAATTATGCACAGAATGTGCCAGGAAAAAAAGTGCACGGTGCTTTGGGTTGCAATTTTTAAATATGGTTAGGAGTTCCACAAGTTTTTCAAGGCTGAACTTTGCCATTCATCGGCAACATGAAGGCTGCCTACCAGATTTCACTTTTAAACTATTGTAAAAATAAGTGTCTTGCCAATAACCAGGCAGATACCTATGCACATGAAGCAGCATGTGAAATCATCACATATAGAAAAGTATCTTCAGTTTTTTGTTCATTCATTTGTTTGAACTCTCAGTACCACCACAATAAGAATAAAAGGTTGGTTCCTTTGGAATGTTCATATTGTTTTACATCTTTCTTGCCCACACCAGCATTTCAGATCACATCAAGAGTTGTATTAGGGCCTACAGCAGGCTCCCACTTTTGTGGTTTAAGAATTTGGGTATTTTAGGATCTTTCTAGGCACTAAGGTATAGCGTCTGGGTGGACATTGTGCCATCCGGGACTGCTCCCCCAGAACGCTGCCTCTCCCCTCCACAGCTCTGTTCTGAACTGCAAGCAGGTCGGCCTCTGCAGGCTGCGTTTGCCGGCCTCCTGTATGTGCTGGCTCCCTGACAGATGTAGACAGTGGCAGGCGCTGGCAAGAGATTGGAGGGTGGAAATACAGATAAACCAGGATATTCCTCCCTCTCCTTTTCTGCCTCCAGTGCATTTTGGCCAACTTCAGGGGCTCCAGCTCCCCACAGATGGCCCTTCATGTGACCTTGACCCCTGACACCAGCAATATCTCCCAAGTAGTGGCTACCTGATATTGCTAAACTCTGATTTCCTCACTGCCCCTTGTTGGCTCCTTGGCTTCTTGGCTTCTCAGCTCTACCACTAATTGTGCACACAGGTCTTTGCATGGAATTCTCTCTGTATTAAATACTTAGAGTGTTTTTTTGTTTTCTTTTGCTTTCCTGGTTCAATTGTGCTTCAGAGAAGCACAACTGAATGGCAGAAAAAAATGCAAAAAATCAGAGCATTTGAAATTTAACCTAAAAATAGTTTCCTGTGGACCCCAGAGCTTTAAAGGATGCTTCTTGGAGGTTATTTAGTCACTTTATTTTTATTCAACAAACATTTATTAAATCTCTGTTGTGTTTTAGACTTCTGATACAATACAAGCTGGTGCCAGGACACACTATGTAATTTAGGATAACAGGCGTCTAAGCAGTTGTTCATGATATAAAATGATAACAGGTAAATAGTCAGGGATATTATTAAAACAAAGAGGTGCTACCTAACTGACTTTGGGAGAATGGAGAGACCTTCCTGGAGGAGCTGATGTCTGAGCTGAGTATAAATAACAAGCAGAGCTTGCCCAAGGGAAGAGGGCTCATAGGAGGGACCAGAAAAGGCATGAGTTCATGGAGAAATTCAAGGATTCATTGCTGTCAGAGTATAATTGTGAGGCAAAAAATGAGGAATGATAAGGCAAGAGAAGAAGGCAGATGATGAAGGGACCATGTGTGTCATCTTAAGCAATGTGGCCTTGACATTGCAGGTGAACAATTTGAGGGGTGTTAAGCAGAGTGGTGACATGATTAGATTTCCATTTTAGAGCCACTGTGCTAGCAGCTCTGTTGCACTAAAGGACTTTTGTAGGGGAAACAATAGCACTTGAAAAGTTACTGTTGAAATTCTGCGTAAAGTAGACTGTGTCCCAGATTCCAAATAACTGACTAAAACTCTCTGCTGTGTAATCTGTTCCTAAATGAGAGACTGCTACTGCTGTTTGGTAAAGCTGTATGCACTTCTGTATAAAGTGGTCTTCTGACCACTTTTATACTATATTCCAAATAACTGGTTGCATGTTTAATAGGAGATATAGGGATGCAGCACATCGTTTCAATCCTCACCTTTAGGGAGCAAATTAGAGTCGGAAGTTCAATAGGGCTTCCATTTACTCTCTCACAAACCATTTAGGGGCAATAGAACAGGGACCTCATGGCAAGAACTCTGTAAGGACTCAATTTTTCCATCCTGGATCTCTTTTTCTGTCCTGAATAGCAATGAAATCCTGAAAATCTACGTGTAGTTCCAACACAGAGTATATTGATAGTTTAAAATAACTTCCCGCCTCACACATGTGTTGGGTGCTCTTATATGAAAGAAATGGTGAAATATTTTAAAAGCCTCTTTTATACTCTCTTGTTTGTGGTGTAAGAGGAAACAGCATCCAATACTTGGTATGAAAATCAAGTGTCTCAAAGAAGAGGGAACTGGAACCTGGAGGAGAGCGCTTGAAAGCAAAAGAAGGGAAAATAAATGTTCTCATGCTTTCAAGGTTTCTTGTCAAACACAGTGTGTTTTCCTTGGTTAGATCTCCCAGGACCCGGTTCAGATGGATTCAGGCCAACTACACTGTGGGAGCCGACACCTGGGCTATGGATAATGTTGTGCTGGCCTCAGGGTGCCCTTGGATGTGTTCAGGACGAGGAATTTGTGATGCTGGACGCTGTGTGTAAGTGAATAAAACTGGCAATTTCTTTTTTATAATGCAAAAATAAAAATAGCTTCTTGAGCTCAACATAAATAATGCCTTTTCTCCACTCACTTTTTTTTTAGGTGTGACCGGGGCTTTGGTGGAGCCTACTGTGTTCCTGTCATTCCTCTGCCCTCAATTCTTAAAGATGATTTCAATGGGAACCTACACCCTGACCTTTGGCCCGAAGTATACGGTGCAGAGCGGGGGAATCTGAATGGTGAAACCATCAAATCTGGAACAGCTCTCATTTTTAAAGGGGTCAGATAAGATTCTTCTTCTCTAAACAACTACTGAAATTCCTTTCTCCAGTCTCTCCTCCACACAGATGCATTTCTCAATCTGTTCAGATGATGTATTATTTTAGACACAATTATTGTCTTCTAGCCCTAACCTTGTTTCCTCTTCTATTCAGTGCATTATTTATGATCACTTAGGCAAATATTTTTTTCCTCTGCTTTGATAGTCAGACTTCTTTTCTTTCTTCTTGAATTATAATATAAAAATTATGCAGGTGCCATTTCTAGAATTTTCACTTCTAGAATGTAACAGTTTATGTGTTATTGAATATTTAACTTGCAGTATTTTAAGTGGTTTTATGAAAGATCTTTGCTTTTCCTCTCTTTATAGAATCATTTTGTGACTTTAAGAAAACCAAACATTTAAGTCAAGTTAAATAGCATTTTCAAGCATTGTTAGTATTTTTTGTATTTCATCCTAGATATCTGAGTAGAGAAATAACAAGCAATTGTGTGAAACTCTGTGCTAAGCTGGCACATCTTCGTATGTGAATACATGCTGTATCAGGTCTCTCTCAGCATGGGAAACTCAGCTAATCTAGGTGTGCAAATGAAATCTTTAACAAAAATCTGCTTGAGTTTCTGTACAACCTTAATGATTAACACCTAACACTTGAAAATTAGATACCCTGGAACCTTTTCAATTATAGTTAATAGATGATGCCTATCAGCCTTATTTAAATTCAGAAAGAAAAAGTGCTTAGGGAGACTAAGAGATTTACAAGTCTCTAAGAGTTATGAGGGAACCAAAGAAATTGAAGTAGAACATTTCAGAGTGGGAACTACTGGGTTTTGTTATTGCTGTTGTATTATGTGCATGTGGTGTGTGTGTGTGTGTGTGTGTGTGTGTGTGTGTGAGTGATTTTTAATCTTGTCTAGGCTTTAGCTGCCATTACCACTAACTCAATTTTGATCTGTTTGAAGCAGTTGACAAGACCATAAAGGAGAATCCCTGTGAATTTTCATAATTCAAGTATCTTTCCCTGATAAAATTTTAAGCAGTAGAATTAACCTGGTCCCTAGATCCTATAAACAAGGAAGACACAGTCTTTTATATTCCCCTTTAGCCGTCCAAATGCAAGGGCATCCAAGCATTATACATCTTAGACATATTATCCATCAGCTCTGCAAGATGTAGGGAGGGCTCAGTGAGTGCCATTCAGTAGACTGCAGTTTGACCTAGAAAGGCATTCTTTCATGAAAAATGAAATGATAGTCTCTTTTTCATGTTTACAGATTCAGGAGTAGTATCAGTTAAAATAGCTTATTAGATGCAAAAGAATTCCTTACATTTCTCCACCAGTGAATGCATAAATAAGTGGAACAACAAATCTCTCTCTCTGTCATTCTTCCTCCCTCCTCTGTCCCTCCCTCCCTTTCTCTCTCTCAAATCAATGAAAAAAAAAACTTAGTAGTTTAAAAAAGAAAGAATTCCTCACATTTAGCACAAATGGATTACTCAACCTGGAAAAAGAATGAAAGAGGAAACATATCTACATGAACTAGAATATATGTAGAAGCAGGGCCTGACAGATTCACTGTGTAATTATCAATATCAAGTACTGAACTATAAACAAATATTACAAACATAAAAGAAAGATACTTTCATCTTATAGATCATACCCACTTTCAGCAAAATTGTTCCTATAGAATGCAGTGTAAAATAGGTCCTTTTATGGAATAACTTAGACTTACATTCCATAATCGAAGGAATCAAAAGATCCTTTATCTTGATGTTCGCAAGGGGTGTTTATTAGCTGGATCTATCAACTAACCACCTCAAAGATTTTTCATTACAAGCTGAAGAAGTCACCTTTCCCCACAACCTAACCTCCATGTGATGCCAAGCTGTAAAAACATCCAAGGCTCAGTACCTGTAAGTGTATGAGGGAGAGTGTAATGACACTGACACATGAAGAACAGGCATTGGTTGGGCATCACAGACTGAGCAGGGCAGTGAATTATTAGGATAAAAGAAAAAGACTGGAAATACAAGGATTTTCACATAGCAACCTTTAATCCTGGAAGATTGAATTTATGCTTTGTGATGTTCAGGGATAGGCTTAAATACAGTTGCTTTTTAATACGATATCAAATAATTATCAAAATCTAAATTTAATATTATATGGATATCTTCTCCCAAAATCAAGAGATGAGTTCATAAACAAAACGCTGATCTCTTGTAAAGGATGGAGGATACATTTTAGAATCTGACATGTCCGGGTTCAAATGCTGCCATTACACTTATAAACTGTTACTGTCCCTCTGAGTTGTCAGTTTTCTTACCTGCAACATGAAGATAATAATACCTTCCCCTTAGGAGTGCTCTGTGCTTGAAATGAGTGTCAATTTTAGAACACAGCATGTTGTGGACAATACATAGTTGCTATTACAAAATCAGTTCTATTTCAAATTTTTCAGCTATTGAGGAATTTGCTCTACAATAAATGTAATGAAGAAGAGGAAGAATTTGTGTTGCCTAACTGAAATTACATTTGGTATTTGTTGATTAATAATTAAGGAATTAGTCGACAGTGTCCACTCAGTGTCACACAGCCCTCCACCACTGAGGAGTCACTTCATGCAGAAGTCACAGATGAGAAACTAAAAGACCCATTTTGACCATAGGACATTTGCATAGTGAAATTTTATTTTACTGGATGTCATAGCAAGCCTGTATATGCATGGAGAAAACAAGCTATGGAGCTGTCAATCCCAGGCAACCAGAAATAGTTAATTAGCAGAAAAAATTACTAAAGCTAATGTGATCATTTTCCTCCTTCCTTGGCTGCCCTGTATGAGCAGTTACAACCAAGGCACAAGGACTTGCTTAGTTATACCTTATTAACTTGACCCACTGCAGGGGGTGATGACAGCCTGAATGAGCTCCCAGGCCTATCAGAGTGTGCAAAGGGGTCGTAAGTTCCTAAGACTCCTGGAACTCTGAAAAAGTGACCTATTATTTCCCAGCTTCCAGCAGGGGTGCTTGCCACATTTTTCATCTGTTTCCTCCATAGACCTCTCAGGGCATGCTGTGATCAGAGGAGGCTACTTTTTAACAAAAAGAACTCATGGGCACGGACAACATTGTGATGATTGCAGGGGGAAGAGGTGGGTGGAGGTGGAAGAGGGTATAGGGGGGTAAATGGTGATGGAATGAGTGAACGAACAACGAACGAATGAATGAATGAATGAATAATCCACTCACTAGAATAGAATAAAATAAAAAATAAAAAGGCCTGTAGTTATGTAATGCCATCATGTTTTGCGCTGCTTTTTATAGTCACAGCAAAGTGTGATTTAGAGTTGAGATAATGAAATTGTATCATTCCAGCATAAGAAATGAAAGCCTTTAAGAAAGTGGAAACTGTCCTTGTTTTTTCTTTTTTTATTGTTGTTCAATTACAATTGTCCCTCTTTTTCCCCCATTACTCTCCCTTCCCTACCCACCCTACCTCCCACATCCTACCCCCTCCCCTTGTCTTTGCCATTGGGTCCTTTATACTGGTTCCTTGACTCACCCTTCACCTTCTTTCCCCGTTATCCCCCTCCCCCATCCCCTCTGGTCACTGTCAGTTTGTTCCTTATTTCCATGTCTCTGGTTCTATTTTGCTCACTCGTTTGTTTTGTTGATTAGGTTCCACTTATAAGTGAGATCGTGTAGTATTTGTCTTTCACCCCCTGGCTTATTTCACTTAGCATAATACTCTCCAGTTCCATCCATGCTGTCACAGAGGGGAGGAGTTTCTTCTTTCCTTCTGCTGCTTAGTATTCCATTGTGTAAATGTACCATAGTTTTTGATCCACTCATTTACTGAAGAGCCTTAGGCTGTTTCCAGCACTTAGCTATTGGGAATTGTGCTGCTATGAACATTGGGGTGCATAGGTTCTTTTGAATTGGTGACTCAGGATTCTTGGGGTGTAATCCCAGCAGTGGAATTGCTGTATCAAAAGGCAGTTCCATTTTTAGTTTTTTGAGGAAATCCCAAACTGTTTTCCACAGAGTCTGCACCAAGTCTGCATCCCCACCAACAGTGTACTAGTGTTCCCTTTTCTCCACAACCTCGCCAGCCAGCACTTGTAGTTTGTTGGTTTGTTTATGGTGGCCATTCTGACTGTTGTGAAGTGGTATCTCATTGTGGTTTTAATATGCATCTCTCTGATGGCTAGTGATGCTGAGCATCCTTTCCTATGTCTCTGGGCCCTGGGTACGTCCTCCCTGGAGAAGTGTCTGTTCAGATCATTTGCCCATTTTTTATTTGGATTATTTGTCTTCCTGGGGTGGAGTTGTGTGAGTTCTTTATATATTTTGGAGATCAAACCCTTGTCTGAGGTATCATAGGTTAATATATTTTCCCATACAGTTGGTTCCCTTTTCATTTTGCTGATGTTTTCTTTAGCCATGCAGAAGCTTTTTAATTTGATATAGTCCCATTTGTTTATTCTTTCCTTTATATCCCTTGCTCTAGGGGATATATTGGTGAAAAATATTGCTGCCTGGAATATTTAAAATTTTCCTGCCTATGTTCTCCTCTAGGACTTCTACGGTGTCACAACTTAAAATATTTAAGTCTTTTATCCCTTTTCAGGTTATTTTTGTGTATGGTATAAGTTGGTGGTCGAGTTTCACCTTTTTGCATGTAGCTGTCCAGATCTCCTAATCCATTTTTCTTTTTAAACTGGAATATGGTTTTTTAACCATATATGTCAATTATTTAGCTGATCCAAGTTATGTGTGGAAAAATCAAAGGAAAATAATTTTTCAAATGAAATAAGATTACTTAACACACACACATATATGTTTTTGTTTTCAGGAAGGACTAAGGATGCTTATTTCAAGAGATCTAGACTGTACCAATACCATGTATGTCCAGTTTTCACTTAGATTTATAGCAAAAGGTATGTCATTTCTATGGGTATGATTTTATTTCCTTTCAAGAAAACTCCCCATGCGCAATTCCTTATCCACAAAGAAATAGTGTATTTGAGGTCTGTAAGTTTTGTTACATGGAAAAGCTAACATAAATTTGAGTACATAAATATTCACAAATGTTCTTCTGTAATAAAATCCATCTTAATATAAGGTTTAGATTACTGACTTTATAATAATTTCATATAGCTACAGTAATCATACTAGTTCTGTAGTAGTTAAATTTATCATCATGTCCCTGAGTCTCTTACTACCACTACTTTCTAGATGTAAGAATTTTAAATTAAAAGTTGTTTATAATTTTTTAACTTATAAAATTTTATGTTATACAAACTTATAAAAATTGTAAGTTATAAAAATTAACATAACTTTTTAACTTATAAAAATTGTATGAGTTAAAAAGTTATGGATGTGAATTCCATAAAACTCAAAAAAGCCAACTCTGTCATTCTGACCTTTTATATTAACTAAATAACTTTCTTGACAAATAGTGCCATTTGTACATAACAAATTTTCAAGTAGGCTTTTTATTGTATCCTGAGATTTAAATGTTTGACCTTTTGTAAAGTTCTGATGCGTGTAGAATCAAAATTTTTTATGTAATATTTCCTAAATAAAACACAGAAAGATGTGTGTTTATAGCTGGAAACAGAGGGAGATACTGTTGTGTGAAAACCCAAGATCTGCTTTGTTTTTTGAGATATATTCATGCAGAAAATTCAACCTGTCATCACTTTAAGTTGCCTCATATGCATTTGGACTGTAAAACCTCAATGTGAATATAATTCAGCTCATGCACTGATGCCAAAAGAATAGTCTAAGAGCATTCTGTTTTCCCATTTTTAGAACAATTTGTTTTGTACTTGTGTTGTCATATTTCTAGGTACTCCAGAGAGGTCGCACTCTATTCTACTACAATTCTCCATCAATGGGGGGATCACTTGGCACCTGATGGATGAATTTTATTTCCCTCAAATGACCAACATACTCTTCATTAATGTTCCTTTGCCATATACTGCCCAAACCAACGCTACAAGATTCAGACTCTGGCAACCATATAATAATGGTAAAAATGCATATGTTCCCTTATGATGAAAACTGACTCTGGCATGTTAACATGTTTGTTTCTAAGGTGGGAGGAAGTGTTTATCAACTTAGTTGATTAGCTGTTTCATCACACACATTTTACATGCTTCACTTTTGAGGACTCCCAGTGAATATTTAACTTTCTGTGTGTCTTTATCATCTCTTCATAATTGACTCATAAATTCTCTTGATGATGTAAATATAGCTGAATCTTGTCACAGATCTAAGGTTTTTAAAAAGTAATCCAGCATTACCATTAGGTACTCATCAACTGTAACTACATTTTTGCTGAAATCTTTTAGGAATACATAGTTCTCTGAGTGTGGCATGTTATTACTGAGATACAATATTATAACAGAATGCTGTGACAAAATGAGAGGGATTTACACCAAGCAAATAATGCAGATAGATGAAATATTTTTAACACATACACTTGTTTCAGTTGATAGGTCAAAGGGAATATATAATTTAATAGCATTTTCAAATGGTTAAAAAAATGATTTTACAAATGTTTAATGTTTATTGCATCTTATATTTCTATTTACTGCTGATTATAAAGGACCAGGCTTTATAGTACCAAATTATGCACTTAATAGCCTGTGTAAGCATGGAGATATCACATTAAGGAGATTCTTTGCAGAGGTAACACAGAAATAAATAAGAAAAATGTACTACCATCTCTAAAATTTAACCTGAGTATTTCCTTTATAACTAATAAGTCAGAATAAATATTTTTAACTTGTTGTGAACAGAAGGCATAATCTTTTATGTTTTGGACCTTTTACATTTATATTAAATACAATCTTTTATATTTAGACCAAATAAAAATCAAAAAATAATGTAACCAGCTTTCCAATCCAGAGAATATTGTCTTTGTGTTGTGCTTGAATACTTCCCTGATTTTTCTTCATTGTTTTCAAAATTATATATATATATATAGAGAGAGAGAGAGAGAGAGAGAGAGAGAGAGAGAGAGAGATGACCATTTAAATCATCAGGTTATTTCCACAGGCTCCTGTTTACAGATCCTTTTTATATTTTGTAAGAATTGTACTAAAAGTAGAAATCAGTGAAAGAGCAACCTTGGGAAATCTTGAGGTTTCTGCTTGGCATGGTCTTATCACCTTGTTTCCAGTTCATTGTAAACAGTATTTTTCACAAAAGCAGCCTGGTTTGCCTTTCTTATTTACTTAGTAATATCTTCCTTAAACACCCAACCTAAGTCACAGAATCAAATTCTGTGACAGCCTAAGAATGATTTTACTAGTTTTCTGTATATTTCCTCATATCTTTAAATAAACATAGATGTTTTGAAAAGCATTAAGAAAAAAATAAAGTACATAACAGAGTATTCTGTGTTGTTTTTAACAATTAAATCAAAGTATTCATTAGGCAATGTTTTAATAACCATGGTCCTTCAGCGTGACAAAGTATGATGTTAAATCATGGGTTAACTCTAAAAAGTCATGTTACTCCTTGAACACACTAGGTAGTGTAACCCTTTCTAAGTCTGTAGGCTGATTGCCCATACTCAAAGATCCAGATATCTTAAATAGTCCCCAAAACCATGATAACAAACTCAAATCTCACTCTTGCCGGTCCATAGCACCACTGAGACAAAAAAAGATGGCACAGTCACAAGCTGTTTGTCACATCTTTCTTGAATTAATGAGGCTGCTCCATTCTGTGTCAATTTAAAATGAGTGAAGCTTAATTTATTTCACACTGCTACTATAATCACTTTAAATACACTGTTATATAGTTAGTATTTCTTTGTCTAGAGGCATATGTTTAACCTGTTGTTACTGAGATTTAAATCTGTTCTTTACTTTCTTCCAATGAGCAAAATGTCCATCTGATTTTCACCATTGGAAAAACTTGCTTTATCCAAAAACGCCTTAGGTAAGAAAGAAGAAATATGGATCATTGATGACTTCAGTATTGATGGGAATAATTTAAACAACCCTGTGATGCTTCTGGATACATTTGACTTTGGGCCCAGAGAAGACAATTGGTTTTTCTATCCTGGTGGTAACATTGGTCTCTATTGCCCATATTCTTCAAAGGGAGCACCGTAAGTATTGAATTCAGAAGCTAAAAATAAAACCACTGCTCTATACAAATCACAATGAACTCTTGCCTAAGTGGATTCCTTGTTTGTTTGGGGTTTTTTTGTATAACAGCGAGGAAGATTCAGCCATGGTGTTTGTTTCAAATGAAGTTGGTGAGCATTCCATTACCACTCGAGACCTCAGTGTGAATGAGAACACCATCATACAGTTTGAGGTACGTAGCTTTGTTCTCTCAGAAATGCTTTAAATTTTATCTTGTACAAAACCTAAGAAAGAGAAGGAAAATCTCAGATAATTTCATGCATCATTGCTTTCTATTTTTATATGAGGACAAAAGAGGTTTTATATCATAATTCATTTTTATTAGCAGAACCAATTGTCATACCAAGGTTTCTTTTTAAATTTTCATCCTTTATTTATGATATAATGGGAAGTTGTTGAAATAAATTATTTTAAGCATTATAAATATAAAATAGACTATACTATTTTAGTATTATTATTTTCACAATTTTTGTATGTTATTTAGGACCCAAGTCAATGTAACTAGTCTATATTGTACCAGCACATTTATGTAATATTTACCATGGTGTCATGAATTTTACTGATAAAATAATATTGCACTGTTTTTATAATCCCTCTATTATGTCATAAATATTTATGAACTCTATATTTTTCAGGAAAGCAAATTAATGTATTAAAAAACTCTTTATGTATTTCAAAAGCTTAGATAAAATCAGCAGAACCAAACGTGCATTATACCAATGTTGAACAGCATTAACTTCCAAAGATACTTGTGTCATATCAGGTCCATACCAACCACAGGGCAGACCTACTTAAAATAGTGTCTAATTGCATCAACACAGGTTCAAATATTTATTTTAGATTAACTCTCTGTATTCTCTAAAGTTGTCTCTTACCTCTCAAAAGTCAGGGATCAAATTATGCCTTAGAAAAGAAATTATTCTGTACCTATTCTAAATTTTGTTATATTTTCTGATTTTATTATAAGTTACTTGTATTATTTTCTGTTATATTTTCTAACAGTTATGTTTTGAATATTAGGAAAAAGTAGCACCTCTGGCCCTTAAGAGTTCTGCTATCCAAAGACTCCAGGTAGAAACAAATGCCTGTAGTTGAAAAGGTTATCAAATCTCAACAATTTACTCACCAGAAAAAAGAGGAGGAGGTCCAACAATAATCAATAACTTAAATAAATATAAATATGTCTGATCTGGTTGCTATGATAAGCAAGAAAATGTTAGTCCCAATGGGAAGATGAAAAAATTTCATAGACAAAATCACATGTATTTATTTAATTAAGTTTTAGTTTAATTTACTTGAAAGCATGGGAAAAAGAATGGAGTGGTTATTTCCTTAATGGTGATAAAGGTCTTTCTGAGAATGCTCTCCCCATGCTAGGGAAATGGTGTTTTAATATTAAATATCTGTTGAAGATTCTCCTTGTGTAAAAGTGGGATTACATGTATTCTGAAGTTCTCACCAGAAGGAAAATAGAAGGTCTTCCTATTTTCTAGCAGATTCGAAAAAACTCATGGTTAGAATTAGGGAAATAGTCTTCATTACCATTTGCTTGGCTTGGTATGAAAGTAGGCCAAAGGTAAGATTTGGAATTCTGTGCCAGCCTCTGCCTTACCCACTTTCTAGTTTTTTTATAAAATGAGGGAAAATAAATTTTTCATGAGACCAGTTGAGGTTCTTTATGAAAAAGTATTATTTAAAGGTAATAGATGATATTATTCAAGCAAAACAGAATTTCATAGTGTTAAATATTTCAGCAAGACAGTTCCCAAGAAAATGGACTCAAGAAAATAATGAAGTGGTGAATCATTTCAAGGCTCGTTGCTTTGAGGTAATCTATATCATTTTTTCTTTTTCTCTAAGATCAATGTTGGGTGCTCAACTGATAGCTCATCTGCTGATCCAGTAAGACTGGAATTTTCAAGGGACTTTGGGGCAACCTGGCACCTGCTGCTCCCTCTCTGCTACCACAGCAGCAGCCACATCAGCTCCTTGTGCTCCACTGAGCACCACCCAAGCAGCACCTACTATGCGGGGACCACCCAGGGCTGGAGGAGAGAGGTTGTGCACTTCGGGAAACTGCACCTTTGTGGGTAAGGACCTGCTGCTTCATGCCACATTTGTTTTTCATTGACAGTTTTCTTCCTGATGTCATTGTTGACTTTACCAGATGAAATTTCCACCTTACACATCTTTTTCAGTTCTCCACTTAAAACAGACTGTAAGGCCACTGAGCTAACATACTACTAACTTAGGTTTGAAGGTAGATTTAAAAGAGTGCACGGGGATTGTACTCTGTCAGGGAGTTCATATTCCCATGGGTCTTTATTAGATCAATTAGGAAGCAAAGAAAGATGGCTTTCCCGTAATGTTGTAACCCTTCCTCACTCCCTCCTCCTTCACAATATAAATGCAGTTAGGATTGTAGGACTTCCAAATATCTACCGAGGTTTCTCACACCAGGAGAAGACACGTGTGGAGGATGGAAGCCCACAGAATATTCCAGTGTCTCATTAAAAAATTGTTAGCACTCTTCCCCTAGACAGTTCTACTTTTTAAACCTCTCTCAGCATTGTTGTTACATATACAAGGTGGACAAACATAGGTTTACATTTATGAGTGAAACAAAGAGTTTATTCTTGTAGTGTTATTTATTAATTATTTTTTTTTCTATATGAACAACTGTAAACCTACTTTTGCCCCACCCTGTATTTGACTCTTCTGTTGAAAAGCTATTTGGAGATGAAAGACTTCAATTCTAACAGAAATGAAATGAAAAGTACAGTTCAAAAAAATGAAACTAATAGTGTAAGTGAATAAAGAGAGGAAGTCAACAAAGCAGCCTGTCTCAAAATTTGTCTTTTCCCTCAGAATAAAGAACTTATTGTTTCAGATTTATGTCAGAAAAAGAAGAAAGTATTAATATCATACTTTCAAGATGGAAACAGATTTACATTCCTAATATATGAAATAGCATAATTACAAGTCTTGGGTCTTCAAGCAAAACTACTAGTACTTTTCCCAAAAGGGCCAAAGGGAATTTTCAAAAGTCTGAACGTTTTTTGAACATAAATCTATTCACATTTCATATAATCACCATAATTTTTATAATTTAATTGTTAAGGGCTTTAATATTTTGTGTTGTTGAATATGTTATTTATTAATTCTTGCTATTTACAGCAGGATATTACTCTAATAGATGACCTGCTTTTTGTCTTTTGTTTTTTTCAAAAAAATCACTAAGCAAAATGTCCCTCAAGGATCTTTAAAAGTGACAGCCAAGGAAGCAAGGAGAGTCTCTGGAGACCATAGGAATAGGTAGAGCTGAGGACTCAGCCAGCACAACCAGAAAACTGCTACAGAGGTGGGGAGGGATAAGCTTGTCTATAAAAAATTGGACATGGGTAGCTCAGGAAAAACTTGTCATCCAAAATCATTACATTATTTAAGATTATATGGTGCAAGAAATATAAAGAGGCAGAGTAAAAAGTGGAAATATTTATTGGAAACATGCTGGGGAATAACCAGCTCCACTCAGGAAGTATGAGGCCATCAGTAACAAGAGTTGTGATCCTCATTTTTATCACGCTGATATCAGTATCATTCAGCAACCACAGCTCTCTCTTTCTGGAACTCATGATTCCACACTTCTAGAACAGAAAATCTGAACCAATCAGCTATGGCCAGAAAGCCAAGTATTGCAAAAGAAACATAGCTGCCTGAAATCCCTGCTTATGGGCAGTGTACGCAGGGGAAAGCCTGGAGAGCCGATCACTTAGGCACCTATGACCAACACTATGACCATTATGGTATTGCTGAGAAGCTCTAGGTTTTTTCTTTAATGGACCTCTAATTTCCTTTAATTGCCCAGCTAAACATTAGATTAAATAGGAAACACCCCTACAACCCTAGGTTGTAAGCCATGACTTTAGATTGTTTTGACATCTGAGACTTGCTTCAACAAGTTCCCACATGGAAATAATACTATTTAAAAGAGCAGGAAATAAGGTCACAAAGATCTCCCAATTTGAGGTTCTGAGTGAAGAGACCCCCTCCAGAACAGTGCTCTGGTGTCATGGGGCCTGCCTCACTTAGCATTTGGTTATGTCTGCCGGGCCATGTTTGCACAAAAGGCATGGTGGTATAATTTGGAAATTTGAACAAGAGAAAAGTAAATATCCATATTTTCACTGACTGGTACTGGGTGTCAGTTTAAAATATTCCTCCTCCAATTATAAAGATACAGAACCTAGACCATCATGTTATTTGTATTCCATGGTGTTTTTATTTCCATGGAAAGAAAGTAAATCTGTTAAAGAGGCATGCCCACTCTCACAACGGTATAAACCTATCTTTCAAAGTGACTTCAACCATTTCTGCAAAAAACAATTTGCCTTCCTAGGGTTGCCTAGTCCTTGTTTCAGGAAAAGAATTAACACTCTTCTTAAACCCTCCACAGGCATGAATTTCTGGAAGGCAAAAGTTAACTTTTCTCCAACTCGGTGAACCATCCCTTGGGTTGTATTCAGCATGGTACATAATAATGGCCAAATGCTAGATGCTAAAATATACATATCCCATGTTTAAAGTACCCATTTCTGTGCATTTACTGGACAATGGACATGATAAAAAAGTATTTTAAATGTTATAGGTGCAGAAATGGCCATTTTTGCCTCCACATACAGTCAATTCACATTTGAAGCCTAAGTTTTGAGCTTCCATTGAATTTTATTCACATCACCTTTGTGTCCTTTTTGTCTAGAGTCTTTTGTCTTTAAAACTCCTAATTGCTTTTTCTTTATACAGCTTTATAATGAGTCAACCAAAATCCCTGTTTAATGAAAGCACTGTTGTGTGCTTGAAACTTTAAGTTTACATTTAAAGAACAGATCCTTTTGAATATCACTGGCTTAGGAGAACAGATGCTGACATTCACCAGGGAGGGTGGCAGTGAGAAATTTTCAAAATAAGATTTCAGCAGAAGGCAACCACAGTAAGACCAGACCTTTTAGCCCGTTTATCATAGCACTTGCAGTTTCTGTGTCAAGGCAGGTGAACAATAATAAATATCCATCCAAGGTGGCTCATTTGTATTCAGAACATTTGAATAAATAAGAAGTTAAAAAAAATCCAAGCAGGCATTTGTTCAAAGGAAAACTCCAGCCATTTCCCACAACTCAGCAGTCTGAAAGTTCAAAAGGTAGGAAGAGCTTCTTGCCAAGACTAAACTCTGATAAATATTTGAAAGTAAAATTTAATTATGAACTGGCATTTTGGGAGCAGCTTAATATAGTTAGAATCTTGATATAAACAATGAAATTAGGGTTAAAATTATATGGGGGAACTTGACTGTATCTGCTTTACTCTCTGCTAAACTTTAGAAATCTAATAAAGGCTTCTAACATTGACTTCTAATTTCTGTTTAAAATTATTCAAATTTGGTTTCTATGATAATTAAAAATTGGACAGATCTACAGGGTACCAAAATGGATATACATGCCATCTCTGTATCTGTCCCCTCTAAAACAAATACTTCTTCTTTGAACTGAGTTTTGTACATAATAAAATATGCTAAACTATTTCTGGACTTCTACCTAAGTATGTAGGTTATTTCCAAGGAGCTAAGTTATCACCAACAATATAAGACAATTCACTTACAATTAAAAAGAAAAATTACCTTTGATATAAAAAGAAATTAAGAAATGAGACATCTGTCTAAAAATAAATCTGCTTTTGTCACTCCTCTCTTTAAAATAATCTTTTGGGGCTCTCCCTTGGCAATAGTATAAAATCCAAAACACCTTAGTTTGGCTGTTAAGGCTTTTCATAACAAATGACACACACCAAAGATTTACTGAGCATCCAGTGTATCTGAAACACTGTACAGGGTACCTTGGAAGGTGCAAGGAAGAAGGAAGAAAAGAGATTGGCTTCTAGGAGTTCACAGCCAATAGGGAAAATAGATATGCTTTTAAATACATGCACCTGTGATAACAATAATAATTAAAATTCCATCAAAAATACAGAAGAGAGCAAGACAGACTAATTAAAGTATTAGTTATTTGCTATATGACCCAGCAATTTCACTACCCAAAAGAATTGAAAACAGGTATTTAAGCAAATGCTTATTCATGAATGTTCCCAATAGCCACAAGGTAGAAATAAATGTCTATCAGCTGGTGAATGGATAAATAAAGTTGGTATACCCATAACATGGAATATTATTCAGTTATAAAAAGGAGTGAAACTCTGATATTTGCTACAACACAGATAGACCTTGAAAACATCTTGCTAAATGAACAAAGCCATATACTTAAGGTCACATATTGCATGAGTCCATTTATATGAAATACCCAGCGTAGGTAAATCCATAGAGACAGAGAGCAGGTTAGTGGTTGCCAAGGGCAAGGAGCAGGGTGACTGTTTAATGGGTACAAGGTTTCCTTCTGGGGTGATGAAAATGTGTTGGAACTCTATAGAGGTGATGGTTGGCCAACACTGTGAATCTGTTAAATGCCTCCAAATTGTATACTCTAAATAGTTAATGGTTACTTTGTGTTATGTGAATTTTACCTCAATTTAAAAAAAAAAAAAGTTAGAGAATCAAGATGACAGAGGAGTGAATAGAAGTCACACTTACTTCTCCCAGGACCAATCTGGAATTACAACTAAATTGTAGAGAAATCACCTGGAACAAACAACTGAACAATAGAGAGAGGAGCCTTTTAACCTCAGAGACAGAAAAATCAGCTTTAGCACAACCTAACTGCTACTTACCCTGTTCTCCAGCAAAGGCGGGGGCAGAGTGGGCTAGAGACACCTGAGGATACACTAGGGAAGGAGGCTTTGGGGAGAGAACTGAGAGAGTAGCTGGCGGGATCTTGGTGCTGACTCATCCCCTATGTGGCAGCAACCACCTGGCTGAGGCAGAGACCACTGCCCCTGAGCCTGAGCGACAGTAGCATCAGAGGACCCACTCCCAGGTGGGATTCCGTCCTGCCCTGAGCTGTCTAAGCTGGCTGAGTGCAGAGTGACTAGATTAACAGCTGAAGGAAACAGCCACAAACAGTAGATTCCTGGAAGTCTCGAACAGACTGCCTAAAGTCAGATAGGGATGACATCTGACATCATCAGAGGCAGATCCAGAAAGTAAAAGCAGAGTTCTCATACCATAGAAGTTCACACCACAATGTCAGGAAATCAAGACAGATCAATTTAAGAAGCAGAAGCATAAAAGAAGAGTCTCACAAATAACGGGAAGACAAAGAAATACACCTCACTCAAAGGGAAAGGAGGCATTCCCAGAAAAAGAACTAAATGAAATAGAAGCAAGTAAACTACCAGATATTGAGTTCAAAACAATGGTTCTAAAGAAGCTTAATGAGCTCAGTGAGCTCAGAGAGAATTACAAAAAACTACAGAGAAACTATGAGGAACTTACTGCAAACTATATCAGCATGGAAAAGGACATAGAGACTGTCAGTAAGACACAAGAGGAAATGAAGAATACAATTTCTGAATTGAAGAACACAGAAGGAATCAAAAGCAGGCTAGATGAAGCTGAGGATCAAATCAGCAAGCTGGAGGAGGACAAGATAGAAAAAAGCTCCCAGAAAGAGCAGGAAAATGAAAAAAGACTCAAAGAGAATGAAGAGGCATTTAAGGAAATGCAGGACAACCTGAAACATACTAACACTGTATAATAGGGATATCAGAAGGGGAAGAGGATGAGGAAGGGATGGAGAACCTGTTTGAAAAAGTAATAATGGAAAACTTCCCTAATTTGAGGAGAGAAAAAGTCGCACAAGTCCAGGAAGCACAGAGGACCCCATTCAAGAGGAACCCAATGAAGCCCACTCCAAGACACATCATAATTAAAATGGCAAATATCAAAGACAAACAGAGAATCCTAAAGGCAGCAAGGAAGAAAAAGGTAGTAACATATAAGGGAGCCCTGATATGGCTAGCTACTGACTTCTCAACAGAAACACTGCAAACCAGAAAGGAGTGGCAAGAAACATTCCAAGTAATGAAAATCAAAGACCTGCAACCAAGACTGCTCTACTTAGCAAGGCTCTTAATTAAAATGGAAGGTGAAATAAGGAGTTTCCCAGACAAAAGAAAGCTAAAAGAATGCATCTCCACCAAGCCAGCACTGCAAAATATACTAAAGGGACTGCTTTGAAATGAAGACAAAGAGTCTATGAATACCCAGTGCCTTTCACAGTTGCCAATACTTGATATTACCAATATTTTTAATACTCATTAATCTGATTGTGACAATGATGTGTTATTTTAATTGTTCTTTTATTATTTGTTGAAACTAAACCTGTTTTTGTATATTTATTGCCTATTTCTACTATTTTTAAAAAGCTTTAAATGACTTTTTGGTATTCTTTATCCATATATTGATTAAAGGTTTATAGAATTTTTTCCCTAAAGAAAAACAAAAACAAAACAAATATTAACCCTTTTTTTGATGTACGGCAAATGCTTTCTCATTCTATTACCTGTCCTTTAACTTTATTTATATGTATATTACTGTATAGTCTTAAATGTTTAATATAGTCATGTTGTCAATATTTTACTTTATAGCTTCTGGGTTTGAATATTTTATTTCAGGGTAAGAAAAATATTAGTTTGTATTTTCTCTGAAAACTCCTTAGATTCTACATATTGATTTTTAACTCACCTGAATATTTCTTGTATAATGTGTGAAATGGGGCCCTATATTTGTTTTATTTCAAGTAATAGTGGTCCATGCGCCTTATTTGTTGAATGAGCCTTATTTTCCCCACTGATTTGAAATATCAATTTAATCATATATTACATTGTTAGGCAGGTTTATACATTTGTTTCTAGAATGCTCATTGTATTTCATTGATCTACTTGATTATTTCTGTGCTGGTGTCATGTTGTATAATTGCTGAGACATTATAATGGTTTTAAAATATTTAATATTTTATAATTGACTAACATTTAAAAAAATAAATAAAATCAATCTATTTAGAAAGAAGGAAGGAAGGAAGGAAGGAAAGAAGAAAGGAAGGAAATAAAAGAAAGGAAAAAAAAGATGGAAAAAGAAGAGAGAAAGATAGAACTCCTACCTTTTGTGACAACATGAATGGAACTAGAGAATATTATGCTAAGTGAAATAAGCCAGTTGGTGAAAGACAAATACCATATGATCTTACCTCTAAGTGGAATCTATTCAACAAAATAAACTAACAAACAAAACAAACCACAGGCATGGAAACATGGAGCAGCCTGAAAGTGACCAGAGGGGATGGGGAAAGAGGACAATGGTGGAAAGGGGATGGGACTAGACAAAGAAAATGCATGAATGACCCATGGACATGGACAACAGAGTGGGAATTGACTGTGGGAGCAGGGGGTGAGGGTGGGATGGGTGGAGGGGAGTAAAGGGGGGGAAATTGAGACAACTATAGTAGAATAAACATGATTTAAAGATTAAAAAATAAAAAAATAATTATAAATTTTTTAAAAAAGATTAGTTATGCAGACTGTAGATAGTAGAGATGGGGAAAACTTCACCAAGAAAGTCAATGCTGAAAAAGTTGGAAGCTCAGGTGGAATTTTGACATAGTCATAGAATTGGGAAGGGCTTACCGGAAGCAACAACGTTATTGGCAAAATCCCAGAGATTGAGGAATGGAGTTTGTGTTCCTGACATGTTGAATTATGTTTTCTATTTCTTGAGTGTGGTGGAGTGGTATTCCACTGTTCATTGATCAGATGTGCGTACTTTGAAGATATGTTGTTCTGTTGATTAGATTTTGAAAGACTTGTTCCTCTTTTCCAGATCTGTGCGTTTCAGATGGTACCAAGGATTTTACCCTGCTGGCTCTCAGCCAGTGACATGGGCCATTGATAATGTCTACATTGGACCCCAGTGTGAAGAGATGTGTAATGGACATGGGAGTTGTATCAATGGAACCAAGTGCATATGTGATCCTGGCTACTCAGGCCCAACCTGTAAAATAAGCACCAAAAATCCTGATTTTCTCAAGGATGACTTTGAAGGTTATCTTTTCTTATAAATTATATGTAGCTTTGTGACAGAGTTTACATATTAAACACAATTTGCAATATAGAAGTAATCATTAAATTCTACTCTAATATTTCATTATTTATCACTACAATTGAAACCACCCAAGCCTTCATTTAGTTTTGAATTTTATAGAGTTCCATTTTTTAAACAATGTTCATTGAGAATGAACAAGAACATAATTGAGAAAAACTAAGGCTATTTTCACTACTCTTTCTTTCACATGTAATTTCTCATTAATGGTAATTTTAGAAAATTTCTATAGAGGGCTAATCTTCTTGGGCTCAGGAAAGAAGTTTCTGGAGTATAAATTCCTTTCATTGCTTCATCACCAACCCATTAAGTAGCCTCTTACCACTTTCTGTACCTCAGTAATACCTGGAATCTTATGTCATTGTATGTGAAAAGAAAGCTACAGACTCGGGAAAAAAAATGTATATGATGTAATAATTGAAATTATTCACAATTTTATATTTTTTGAATATGCACTCTGATAAAACTATGGAAAAACATCCTCATAAGAGAAAGTCTTAAACAAATGTAGTAACTATTTAGGCTAGGATAGTGGGATTAAAGATTTTTTCTTTTTCCCAAGTAGTCCATAAAATTGTTATATTAATGGTTTTAAGGTACATTCTAAAGTTATATTTAGGTATATCAATACATTATTTATTTAGCCTTAAAAAGGGATGAAATACTTGCTGCAACATGGGTAAACCTTGAAAACTATGCAAATGAAGAGGTCACATACAAAAGGCCATGTATCATATGATTCCATTTATATGAATCATTGAAAGTAGGCCAATCTGTAGATACAGAGAGCAGATTAGTGGCTACCAGGGGCTGGGTGAGAGGGAAATGAGGAGTGACTGCTTAATGGAGACAAAGTTTTCTTTAAAGTGATGATAAAGTTCTGAAACTAGGTAGTGGTGATGGTTACACAACATTGGGAATGTGGCAAATGCCACTGAGTTGTTCATTTTAAAATGATGAAAATGATAACTTCTATGTTATATGCATTTTACCATAATCAAAAAACTGAAGTAGATCTAAGATGAATATCTGAGGAGATCTGAGAGCTGGTTTTGAAAGATATTATTTAATAAGAAATATTAAATTATACTAAAATCTCTCCCATTAAGACTGTGTTTTTAAAAATGTATAACACTTGTATGATACTGACCTCTCAGTAGCAAGGACACTGTGCAGCCTGTGGAAAGACCACCCCACCCTCCCTTACTCACTGATGAGACAGTGTCTTTTTTTGAGGTGTAGAGGTGCCCACCTGGCTGGACCATAGATACTCAGGAAAAAGCCCCCTCCTTATGTCATGTGGACCCTTAAATTATACAGCCAAGGTTAAACAATTCAACCATGCTAAAATGGTGAAGAGACCTCTTATCCCAAAATCTATAAAATTGATATTTATGACTTCATATTTTAAAACTACACAAAGCACTTATCATATTCCTTAAAAAATAATACGACTGTAATTGGAGATATAGGTAAACCACATTTTTCACCTTTTTCAGGTCAGCTAGAATCGGATAGATTCTTATTAATGAGTGGTGGAAAGCCATCTCGGAAGTGTGGAATCCTTTCCAGTGGAAACAACCTCTTTTTCAATGAAGAGGGATTGCGAATGTTGGTGACACGAGACCTGGATTTATCACACGCTAGGTAATCACTTTTGAATGCTATTGGAAAATTACATTGTAATGTACAGCAGCAGAACATAATTGAATCAGAAAGAAGCAGAGATCTCAAAGTCAAGGTCTTCCATTGGAAATGCTACTTCTGTCTTATCAGAAACTCCATTAAGACACAATTTACATAATTTTCATTCTAAAACTGGAAGAGCTTTATGCAATAACTAGATCAAAAACAAAACACAGATAAACAAACAGAAGATAATATCTGGTATTTTCCAAGATAGTGACTAGGAAATGACAATATTTAACTTTAACTTCAGGGAAATAACATTATATCTTCTTTATCCATTTTCTACAGAATATTTTTTATATGTACTTGGACTGTGTAGAAATTATTTACACCATGCTTAGTAGAAAGCCTAATTGAAAGACAATACATTCTCAAATTACTCACAATCAATTTTATATCCAGTAGCAATTTAAGAACATTTGAAGTGTAGCCTTACTCTTTATAAGCATTTCTTTCCAATGTTTCACTCATACATACTAAGCACTCATTTTCAAAGTTGAGCACAGTCACTTAGAAACAAACATTTTAAACTGGCTCAGAGGATTATGTCCTGTCAAAATGTGTATCCTTTGATCATTTGATGTGCCAAACACTTAGCCAGGAAAATAAAAAAGAAAATTTACATGTGTAAAATGGAACCCTGACCTATTTTTGCAAGTGAACAAAAAAAAATGATGTTTATGTTTTGTTTTTTGAAACATTTCAGAGTAAATTAAAGTATATCATAACATATTATCCTCCTCTTCCTCCTAAATCTTTATTTATTGAACTATAAATTTGATTATGCTTCATAGAAAATACAATTCTGTCTGTGAGATAATAATTTTACAGTTAGAAGAAGCAAGATTTTATTTATCACCACCCTATTTTAATGCATATGATTTAATTTGATGCTCTTTATTTCAGATTTATCATTGGCAACTGAGCTGTCTACTTTAGAAATTATTAGGCTTTTCCAAATAATATTACATGGCTTATCTATGACTAAATTAATGTAAACATTTTTCCAATACAAGTAGACAATTGGCTAAAAGTTTTTCTCTGTGAATGATTATTATTTTTATAGATATGTCACTAGGCACTGACCATGTATATTTTTTTATTAATCCATTGTTAAAAGCTCCATTATTTATCTCATCTCTGTAGCATGCTGTGTAGGATTTGCATATATTGACCTCAAAGTGCTCCATGTAAAATCCCAATTTTCTCAGGTTATGAGATAAATGAATACCCAGTAACTGGAGATAGGGGAGAGGAGGAACCCATGAAGAATGCATGGTTTTATGTATGGAACTATAACCTTTATGATAAGCTCCAATATATTTCATATGTGTGACCTGCATAACTAATTGGGTGTGTGTGTTGGGTTACACATGTAATTTATTCTGCATTACCAGGTAGCACAGCAGCCAAACCAGGCACCAGCGGCTTGCCTGCCAATGATAACATGCAAGCTAGTTTTCATTGGCACCCCAGCTGCTTGCTGCCACTCTGTCTACCTCCCTGCCAGCTGGATGGGCTGCACTGGCTAACCGCCAGGGTTCTTGAGGGCCAGTAGCATGCATCGCGGACCCAGCAGTAGTCAGAAGTTGGCGCAGCCCACTGTCACCACTACCCCACGCTCATGCTCCCCCGCCCCTGGCAAAGAAAGGCAGAAAAGAGGCCCAGGCTTCATACACCTCTTCCAAAAGATGCCTGGCCTTTTACAAAGACATGTTAACAACTGGTGAATTTAAATGTGTCTCCCAAAACCAATAATATGAGATCTAAAAAACTCCTAGTACAACCTGAAAATGGACAATTTTGCCAATAAATGACATAAACTGCATTAATTATATTCTCCCTGTTTCAGATACTTAGCACAAGGATCCAAATTTATCTTAAATAGATAACAATACATACTCTAAACTTGATGAGCCGCTCCCACCTTCTTACAGAATAACCAAAGGGTACAGTTAATGCTTCTTTCCTCAGACTCACCTCTGTGGAGAGGCACAAAATGTAAATATGAGTGAAGAATTGCCTTTCTTTTCAGATTTCACATTTTATTAACTCCCTTTAACCTTAAAAAGGAAAATCACGCTTAGAAATTATTTCCTTGGACAGTCACTAAGTCATCATATTCATTAAGCCCTGCATTCCCTGATTACCCTGTGTGCTTATCTTTTGCTAATGGTGTAAATTTCTCACTGAAGTAAATGTCTACAGTAAATTTACTCATGTCAGATTTGTGCAGTTCTTCATGAGACTGGGATGTGGTAAAGGTGTTCCAGATCCCAGGAGCCAACCTGTGCTTCTGCAATATTCTCTCAATGGCGGCCTCTCATGGAGTCTACTGCAAGAGTTCCTTTTCAGCAACTCCAGCAACGTGGGCAGGTACATCGCCCTGGAGATACCCATGAAAGCCCGCTCTGCTTCCACTCGCCTTCGCTGGTGGCAGCCATCTGAAAATGGACACTTCTACAGTCCCTGGGTCATCGACCAGGTCAGTCCCTTTAGGATCACTACTGTATTTTTGTCACTTGAGCTAAATGTGGCCCCAGCACTTAGTCCATCCCCTTAGTTCTGTAGAGGAAGCCCAGAAGGGACAGTTGAGTGACTTGCCCCAGGGCACACAGCTAGATTAGACATGGCATTTAACTTCCTTTCATTCTCTTTTCCTTCAATTGCCTGTGCCTATAAAAATAAAGGACACAACAGAGGGCCCAGTTCCTGCTCAGAGAGGATTCTGCCATATGGGTAGAAAGACTTTATCAAGCGTGAGACAAGGTTATAATTCTCTGAAAAGGAAAATGTGCAAATTAGCATTGGTGCCACAAGCAGTAACTCCCAAATCCTCTTTCCTAGCCTTCGAAGAAAAAAATAAATAAATCTCCCTAACATCCTATGGACAAATCTAAAGGATCTTCATACATAATAAACTGCATATCAAATAGAAACTGTTAACAAACTGTAGAATCCATACAAAGAATTAAACTGACATGCCTTAAGGTATAACTGTCCTTAAATGGAAATTTTACATGAAAAATAATCACATGTAAGCCAAATTTTGCTTTCCCAGCTTGGGCACATGTAGTTTCCAAAGGCACAATTTGCCCATGAAGGCTGTGAATGGTTTTGTCAATCCTTTGATTTGTTTTCTGTAGCTTCTTGCCAGACGGGCAAGCAGACCACATAAACAAGAGCATTCTGAAAGGGCCTCTAACATTGTGTTTGCTATATGATGCCAGCTCTGAGCAATCTGACAGCTAAAAACAAACAAAAAAAAGACTTCTTTCTCATATCTTAAAACTAAATTGAAAATTTGTGGGGTTTTTAAAATACATTTCAGATTCTTATTGGAGGAAATATTTCTGGTAATACGGTCTTGGAGGATGATTTCACAACTCTGGATAGTAGGAAATGGCTACTTCACCCTGGAGGCACCAAGATGCCTGTGTGTGGCTCTACCGGTGATGCCCTGGTCTTCATCGAAAAGGCCAGCACCCGTTATGTAGTCACCACAGACATTGCTGTGAATGAGGACTCATTTCTGCAGATAGATTTTGCTGCCTCCTGCTCAGTCACAGACTCTTGTTATGGTAAGTTGCCATGTCCAGGCAGGACAGATGTGTGTAAATGGGAATCCCTGATAAGTCTAAATAAAACACAGGTGCACTTCAAGTCAAACCATGACTGCCGTCTTGAAAAATGTATGTAAACTGAGATTTGGAAGTTTATTTTTTAATCATTTTTTATTTTTCAATTATAGTTGACATACAATATTATATTACTTTCAGTTTTATATCCCAAAGATTAGACATTACATAACTAAGTAATCATCTCAATAAATCATCTACACATCTGACCCACACATAGTTACTAGAATATTATTGACTCTGTTTCCTACGCTGTACTTTACATCCCAATGACTATTCTGAAACAACGAATTTGTATTTTTTAATCACTTCACCTTTTTTCACCCACATTGAGAAATCAGCTGACGGTCTAATGGGAGCTCCCTTGTAGGTTACTAACTGCTTTTCTCTCACTGCTTTTAAGATTCCCTTTTTGTCTTTAACCTTTGGCATTTTAATTATGATATGCTTTGGTGGGGGCCTCTTTGGGTTCCTCTTGTTTAGGACTCTCCGTGCTTCCTGGACTTTTATGTCTATCTCATTCACCATGTTAGGGAAGGTTTCTGTCAATATTTTTTTCAAATAGGTTTTCCATTTCTTTCTCCCTCTTCTCCTTCCAGCACCCCCATTATGCAAATATTGATACACTTGAAGTTGTCCTAGAGACTTCTTACACTATCTTCATTTTATAGGGTTTTTTTTTTCTTTTGGCTCTTCCAATTGGGTGTTTTTTGCTTCTTCATAGCCCAAGTCACTGATTTGATTCTCGGTTTCATTTACTCTACTGTTGATTCCCTGTAAATTATTCTTCATTTCAGTCAGTATAGTCTTCATTTATGACTGGTTTTTTGGGGGGGTTGCATGTCCTTTTTTATGCTTACTATTTCTTTATTGAAGTTCTCACTAAGATAATTGAGCAGCCATGTAATCAGTGTTTTGAATTTTGTATCTGGTAGATTGCTTGTCTTCATCTTGTTTAGTTCTTTTCCTGGAGTTTTCTTCTGTTCTTTCATTTGCATCAAATTTCCTTGTCTCCCCATTTTGGCAGCCTCTCTCTGTTTGTTTCAGTGTATTAGGTAGAGCTGCTATGTCTCCTGGGCTTAGTAGCATGGACTAATGTAGTAGGTGTCCTGTAGGGTCCAGTGGCACAGCCTCTTCGATCACCCAAGCTAGGAACTCCAGGTGTACCCTGACCCCCCCACCCCCATGTGGGCTGTGTACACCCTCCTGTTGTAGTTGAGCCTTGATTACTGTTGGCACATAAATGGGAGGGATTTACCTCCAGGTCGATAAGCTGCAAGGACTGGCTGCAACCACTGAACACCAACCTCCAACCACCGTGCAGGATCAGCTCTACGGGGGCCCACCCCACAGAGCAGGACTTACTTTGGTCGGACTCTGGTGTCCACTGAGTCTGCCCTTGAGTGTGTCACTTTTGGAGGTGGTGCTTGGACTTGGTCTGAAGCTATTCACTAGATGTGCTGGCTCTGGAGCCTCCTGGGCAGTACCTGCCAAGGTCAGCCCTGCCTATGTTCTGACTGGGGCTACCAGCATGAGCTACAAAGTGATCTGCAAATGGCTGCTAATTGTTCTGGGCTTGGAAGTGCCCAGGTGAGACCAGGCTTTGAATCAAGGCTGGCTGCCAAAGGACCAGGCCTAGGGCCACTTAGCAAGAGGTAGGGGCACACCGAAGCCAGATGCTGCTTGTTTGAGAGATTTTTAGGAAAATCTGAAGCATGATCCAAGACAGGACATTCACTGAGAGCACTGTGTCCTTTTGCCTCATTCACTAGAAACAGCTTGGGAGGGCCCACAAGTTGTATGGGGCAAGGTCTCAGGAAATCACTAGGGTGGGGCAAACAGTGTGAGCCAGACTGAAGGGGTCTCAGATATGGCACCCACCTGCTGGCTCTGTGGGTGAAGCAATCAGCAAAGGAATGATGGCTTATGCCAGCACTTTTGTCTGGCAGAAAGCTCCACCCTCTAGTTCTCACCTTGATGCCAGGCAATTCACTTCCTCCCTGTGTGTCTCTAATTCCATTAAGCTGCTGCCCCAGTGCTGAAGTTCAGAGGGAGTTTGAGTAAGTTCATGCCCAGGCCCTTTAAGAGGAACTGCTTGGGACTCCAGAAGCCCTCAGTCTCACTCAGCCACAATCCCCCACTATTTCACGGCCAGAAGTTATGGGTTACAGAGACTTTTCCTGGCACTGGAACCCTGGGCTGAGGGGACTGGTGTGGGGCTGTGACCCCTTGCTCCCCATGGGGTACCTCTGCTACTTAGATATCTCTTCTGATTTGTATCCACCACACTTGAGTGTGGGACCAGCCTGTTTTGCATCTCTGCTCCCTCCTACCAGTCTCAGTGTGGCTTCTTTAATTCTGTAGTTGTAGAGTCTCTGTTCAGCTAGATTTCAAGTGGTTCTGAATAATAGCTGTTCTGCAATTTAGTTGTAATTTTGATGTCTAGAAGTTTATTTTTTAAGCATCAGAATGTGAGCTTATTTTTAAGCATAAGTATGTAAAGACTTCTTTTGTATATAAATAATAACCCCAAATTTATTACTTTTTATATATCCAGATTTTTTTAGTATCAAATTTATGGAATAAAGGAATCTAAACGCATAGAGAGTGCCCGAATAAGCAGAATTTTCACATAAATCTATAAATATATGGGTTTTAATTCTTGGGACTTTAGCCCAGTTACTATTTCTTTTACATCTCCTCAGAAATCAAAAAACTTGGTTCTTATGTAGCCTTTTACTCTTTGCCATCACTGGTTATAGCATATTCCAAGCCACCCTCATTAATGGTTGACCAGTTTGCATCCTCTTAGTTGTGGTGCACACACACACACGCACACTCACACTCACAAAATCCTTACACACATACCAATGGACCTATCTTAGGAGAAATAAAAACATTGCATACTTGGACCCTTCACCAGAACTTGCAGACCTATCAGGATTCTGGGGGCCCCCTAGTCTTTCACCACCCTATGCACTCTTCTTCCAAGAGATTCAAACTGGAATGTTCACAAAGAATTTGTTCTATTTTAGATTCTTGGGGACATCAAAATCTGAGGAATTTGGTTACTTCCAAGGTCCTGAAAAATCCAGATTTTTCACATTTTCATTAGTTTTAACTTAATGCACATATCTTAGGGGGAATCCCAGAAGTACTCTTCCTAACTCAGATTCAATTAGTAAGCAAACACTAAACTAGACAGTAGAAGTAAAACGTGGAAAAGTATAAGGTACACACCCTGTTTCCAATAGATACAGTCTAGTTGAGAGGATACTTCAGAAAAGTTGGAGTCCAATAAATGACTAAATCAAGTGAGCCATGGAGGGGTACTGATGCAAAATGTGCTGAAAGTACAAAGGAGGGAGAGATAACCAATGGATGGTCAATCCAAGGAGTTGAGTAAGATTTCACAAAGGAGCTAAGTCTCAAGTGGCATTGATTGTTGTGTAGATTTGAAGGGTGAATGGAGAGGAGAGAATTCCTCATGCTGTCTGGCATCATAAGCAAAGAAACAGGTAGGAGTTCTCCTGCTCTATGCGGGAAACTATGAGCAGACCTTCCTGGACAGGTAATATTTGCCTCTAGTATAGGAGCAAAGTGCTCTATTTGAAAATATAAAAGGACCTTAAGGTCTGAGATACCTTCTCCTCCATTAGCATGGGAGGTTAATGAAAACTCAAGGAGGTAAGTGATGACATAGTCATCCCGCAGCAATACCAGGACTGAAACTCGGCCCTATAAGTTCAGCTATGTGTCCTTTCTACTCTAGTTTGGTGCAATCTTTTAAGAGAGGTTGAACTGAATGATAAAATGAAAGAGGAAAGTGGATGAACACAGTTGGCAACACAGTGCCCTTCCAAAGCAGTTACAAGAATTTGTGCTTGACAAGGTCATGAATAAGAGGGCACAAGTGCTGAGGAGTGCCATGGTATGTTTTAGGGATATTAATCCAGGAGCCAGTGAAGATGGGCAAGCCCAATAACAAGCCTCAGTGGTAATCTCCGTGGGAGGCAATGAAGACCTGCACTGTAGGACAGGAAGAGAAATGGAATGGATAAAATTGATGCAAGACAATGCAGACAAAAATGAAAGAAGCAGGAGACCTCAAAACTAGGTGACAGGTTGAACAGAGAAGAGAAGAGTAAAAGAAAGAGAAGAATAAAATTTTGAAAGCAAATTCTAAATTTTGAACCTAGAAAACTAGTGCAATGTATTGTTATTTTGATAGAATTTGGTAGTGAAAAAGATGTTTATGTATGAGGGGAAATAATGAGTCTTTCTTTAGTTTGGGTAAAAGTCATTTGAAGGGAAGATATTCTTTAGGGAAGAGCACTTACAATATGGGAAGTAGGAACTTTGTCTATACTGTGCATGACAGTATGCCAACGTCCAGCACCATGCCAAGCCGAATGAACATTTGTTGAAAGAGTAAAACCAATTCTGAGACATAAAATTGGGCACAGAGGTAATAGTTGAAACCCTAAGAGTATACACATAGAATAGAAGACCAGAAGTGGAGTCTGGAAGAACGCCCACACCTGGGTTAGTTAGCACAGGTTAGTTAGGTGTCAGAGGGAAAGCAAGACAGTTGATTTGGAATAATGTCCCTCCAAAGAAAAGGAAGTTTAAAGAATTGGGGAATGATCGATAATATCCAGTGCCATGGGGAGGACAGGTACAGTAAAGACTGAGAGATAAGCTATTGTTTGAGGTAATGAGTGATCCCATCCTAGCTGTACCCGACAATCACCTGGGGAGCAGTAAAGTTCCCGACTCCTTGGCCATGTCCCAGAAGAGTGAAATCACAGTCACTGAGGGTAGGACCCTGACATCAGTAGTTTCTAAAGGCACACAGCTGACCTCAGTGTGTGGCCAAGATTGAGAATCACAGCCTTAGAGAAAGTAATTTCAGTAGGGAGGTGAAGGTTAAAGCAATTTATAGAGGCTCAAGAAGGGAACAAAGAGAAAAATATAAAATAGGGAGTGTAAGTTGAATGTTTCAGAAGAGAAAGGAAAGAAATACCTTTCCAAAACCCTACAGCCGACTGCATGTTTCGGCCCAAACTGCACGGCTTCAGCCACCTCCTGTGCCTCTCTGAGTCCCTGTGTACCCCATCACATAGCAGAGCAAGGTGTACTTATGTAATATGTATTTGATAACTATTAAATTAAATCATAAATATAAATTATAACTACTATGACTATTGCTTTAACCGTATAGAAAGCAACAGTTTTGTTATAGTTCTGAAAATTGCTCTGTATAAGGAATAATTCAGTAAAACTTACTTATGTTTCATTTCATTTGATTATATCCTCTTAAAAGAAATTATTTTAATATGGAAAGTTAGAAATAATTACTAGTAATATACAGAGGGATACTTCAAACCAGGAAACATCTCAAACTAGGAAACATTGTATGGGGGGAAAAATCAAATTGACACTTGATTGAAATGAAAACATAAGTAATTATAGTTTCTGAGTCCATAGACATGTATTTCTAATCAGAATAATGCTTCCTATTTCAGCTATTGAATTAGAATACTCAGTAGATCTTGGATTATCATGGCATCCATTGGTAAGGGATTGCTTGCCTACCAATGTCGAATGCAGTCGCTATCACCTGCAGCGGGTCCTGGTGTCAGACACTTTCAACAAGTGGACTAGAATCACTCTGCCTCTCCCTCCTCACATCAGGTATGAATGCTTCTGCATGTAGCAAACCCAAATGTAATATAATTTGGCATGTCAAATTTCAGCACAGCAAGTTTAAATGAGATACCTGAGGTTTTATTACCTGTTGGTGGTATTGCCACACATGAATTATACCTGTTAATGATATTGCCACTCGTGAATTAAGGCAATCTAAGTAAAATAGAGACCAGTTTTTGTAGTGATATGTTCTGTCTTTTTCCCAAATCCAGGCTTTTACTGACTTTTAACTCTAATATTTTTAAAGAATGGCATATGTAAGGAACCAGTGGCTGGATCAATGAGCTTCTTCAACTTAATTCACTATGCCAAGAAGAAGCCTCCCCCCAACCCCATTTTTTATCCTCACCCAAGGACATTTTTTTCATTTCTTTTTAGAGAGAGGGGCAGGGAGAGGGAGAGAAACATTGTTGTGAGAAAGAAATGTCAATTGGTACCCTGACTGGGGTATGCACCCCAACCAGTGATCGTACCCACAACTCGGGTATGTGCCCTGACTGGGAATGGAACCTACAACCTTTCAGTCTACGTGTTGACATGCCAACTGAGCCACACCAGCCAGGGCAAGAACAAGTCTCAAATTTAAACAGGCACGTTGGATACAAAATAGATTTAAATGGAATCTATTTTGTATCAGTCACACTACTGTAAATATAGCAGTGAGTGGTATCATATAAATGAGGTATTTGCTATCATAAATGTGTCTTAAACTTAGTGTCTGCTTTTGAAATTTTACTTCAAACAGTATCTTGAAAATTATCACCTAGAGCATTTTTTATCTGAAAAAGAATTGTAAATACTTTATTCATTGTGTCTGTAAGAAATGATGGTAGTTTCGCTTCAGAGGGATAGTAAAAAGATAAATGAAAAAGAAAAGATATGATAGTTGCTTAATAAAATTGCCTGGTAAATGCAGGTAAGAAGTTAAGTCTAAATTATCTGTGTACTTGCAATTGTTAGAGTAAAGCAGAGAACTCACCTTGCTTGTTGGGATAGTGTTACATGTCTCTTTTCATCACCTGAGTAGGTGCTAAACATAAGAAAGTTGTAAAATCTTTATAGGAATTCCTGTTCCCTCCCAAAAAGTGGTAATCAGTTGCTGCCCTCACAAAAGAAGCAAAGCAACAAATTCAGTATGTTGAACAGAAGTTACAGTATGGGCTCATTATTGTTCTCTCGCCTCCCCACAAATGAATAATGAATAAATTTTCCTAGAAAATGACCATAAAATTCAACCATTCACCTAAGGACATAACTGTTCTTAGGATTATCAAAAATGGGATGGTTTCAGTTACTAGCAGCCCAGGGCTGCTCTACAATTGCTGGCTCAGAGGTACAAGACTATATTAACTGTCAGCACAGTTGCCAAGTTTAAATGAGATACGTGAGATTTTGTTGCTCATTAAAGGTATTGCGATGCATGAATTATTAAGACGATCTTAATAAGTAAAATAGAAAAATAAACCTCCATTAAGGCAGCAGTCTTTTAAGTCTTTATGCATTCTGTGAATTAATACCGAGCTACTTGGTAGCATTTTGCAAATAAGCAGCATTCTAAGATTTACTCCAGCAAGTCATATCCTCTTATGTCTTTAACTCAAGAAAAGTAATTATTCCTCATCTTTTAATCTATTTTTAATTGTCTTTTATATATACCCACAAGAATTTTGACCCTTTCAAATGATTTTTGAAAAATATAATGAACATTTATTTTCTCTTGCTATTGTATTGAAAATGTGCAGTTCGTTTATTATACTACTCTCAAAACTCACATTGTACAATGGTTTCAAAGTCAACACTGCCCTTTAGATAATCCAACTAGATTGTTTGGATAATTCAGAAGGAAATGTGTGTGGATGGAGCTCAAACCAGACATACTTCTTATCATGCTCTTTCATGTGCCAAAGATTCGAACAATGTACCAGACTCAGAGCACTTTTTCTCCAATACAAATTAAATATCTATACTTTATCTGCTCTTATATTCACTATTTATGGTGTTTCCTTGTTTTGTGTTGAACTTAGTGCTTCAATATCTGTGAACTGTTGAGACAGCAGTGTTTATGTTATCCGCCAGGACAGAATTGAGAATTTTAGTTTGTAGCTCTTCCTTATGAACAAACATGATCTGACAACTTAAAGCCATGTGCTGAATAGGATGTGACAATGTGCTAATTGTAGGTCTCTCCACTTACTCACTTGTAACCCAGTATTATTGGTACAATGGTGATAAGTCAACTGAGGTTGGTTGTCCAAAGATTAACATCAAACCATTAGCCAAACCAAGATAGCCAGTAGTCATCAGTAGTGATTATTCAACCATTTAGTCATTCATTAAACAAACATTTTTGAAATGTTTAATTATGTGCTAGTTCCATGTGAGGGGCTGAACTTATTCCTGCCTCAAGGAGCTTTTAGTCCAGGGGAAGAGGGAAATCCCCATTCATCACAAAGTAAATATAAAATTCAGCTGTGATGAGAAACGGAGAACGTCGCATGATGCTAAGACATTATATATCATTGAGAGGTTTACAATAGTCAAGAAAGTCAAGGACTGCTTTCTTGAGAAAAGATCATTGAGATAAGATATGAAGGATGCATTGGAGTTAAGTAGGTGAAAAGTAAGGAGAAGAGTGTTGTACACAAGGATAACAGCCTATAGTAGGAGGAAGCAGGTATTTGAGATACTGGAAGAATGGATCAGAGAGAGAAAGAAAGAGAGTGGAATGAGGTGTAGGATGGTGAGACCATGAAGATCACTGTAGGTTTTACTGAAGAATTGGAGATTTGTTATATGAACAATGAAAAGCCTGCGAAAGTCCTTGGGAATAGGGAGACATGATCAGATTTGCATTCAGAAAAGCTTATTCTAACTCGAGAGCAAATTGGGGAGGATAAGAGTAGATGTGAGGAGACTCTTAAACAGACAGCAAATGTTAGCAGCTTGGACTAAAGTGCAGCAGACATGAACAGAGTGGAGAAATTCAAGGGTAATGGCAATAAAATTGAGCTTAATGATGAAATGGATGTGGGAGGGTGAGGGAAAGGACATTATTGAAGATGACTCCCTGGTTTCTGAACTGTGAAACTGAATGCATGCTAGTGCTTTGCACAGGAAAAGGAACACTGAGACTGAACACAAGATATACCACTCTCTGCTCTCAACACTGTTATATTAAAACCTAAAGAAACTGGGGTAGGTGGAATCATTGCACATATTCCCCCCTGTATACACTGGTTAAGTTAGATCTTCCTGGAAGGAAAAAAGAACAGAAAGCATTGTGCTTTAGTGAAGGGTTCCAGCTTTTCAGCATGGTAAGCTTTTACACACGTCATTTCATGTCCCTAAGCTTCAGTTTCTCCAAAAGATGGAGATACTTTTAACATAAGATAATTGAGTAAATGTGCGTGGAAGTGTTTGGGACATTGTAAACATTTATTAAAATGTAAATCATTTTTATTTGTATAAGTTAACCACACAAGCAAGCTTATTTTCAGACTAAAACTTTAGTCAGATCAAGAAGTCTTCCTAAGAGCTAACCCCTGTCCTTCTCAGACTATTCCAAAAAATCCAAGAGGAGGGAAGACTCCCAGACTCCTTCTATGAGGCCAGCATCACCCTGATCCCAAAACCAGATAAAGACCCTACCAAGAAAGAAAACTACAGGCCAATTTCGCTGATGAACATAGATGCTAAAATCCTCAACAAAATATTGGCAAACCGCATCCAGCAATACATTCAAAAGATTATCCATCACGATCAAGTGGGATTCATCCCAGGGATGCAGGGAGGGTTCAATATACGCAAATCAGTAAACGTGATACACCACATAAATCAAAGAAAAGACAAAAACCACATGATCATCTCGATAGATGCAGAAAAAGCATTTGACAAGGTACAGCACCCATTTATGATCAAAACACTCAGCAAAATGGGAATAAATGGGGCATTCCTCAACGTAATAAAGGCCATTATGAAAAACCTACAGCCAATATCATACTCAACGGGCAAAAACTGAAAGCTTTCCCACTAAGATCGGGAACACGACAAGGATGTCCGCTCTCACCGCTTCTTTTCAACATCGTATTGGAAGTCCTAGCCACAGCGGTCAGACAAGAGAAAGAGATAAAAGGCATCCAAATAGGAAAGGAGGAAGTAAAACTATCATTGTTTGCAGATGACATGATAGTGTACATAGAGAACCCTGTAGACTCTACCAAAACACTCCTCAACCTAATAAGTGAATTTGGAAAAACAGCAGGATACAAAGTCAACATTCAGAAATCAAAGGCATTTTTGTACACCAGCAATGCAATAGAAGAAGAAGAAGAAATCAGGAAAAATATACCATTCGATATAGCACGAAAAAAGATAAAGTACCTAGGGATAAATTTAACCAAAGACACAAAAGACCTGTATGCAGAAAACTATACAACATTGAAAAAAGAAATTAAGGAAGACACAAATAAATGGGAGCATATACCGTGCTCATGGATTGGAAGAATTAATATCATCAAAATGTCCATACTACCCAAAGCAATTTATAGATTCAACGCAATCCCTATTAAGATACCAATGACGTATTTCACAGAAATAGAACAGACATTTCAAAAATTTATATGGAACCATAAACGACCTCGAATAGCCGCAGCAATTTTGAGAAAGAAACACAAAGTAGGAGGGATCACAATACCGGACATCAAACTCTACTACAAAGCCACTATACTCAAAACAATCTGGTACTGGCACAAGAACAGACCCATAGACCAGTGGAACAGAATAGAAAGCCCAGAAATAAGCCCAGGTCTCTATGGACATCTAATATTCGACAAAGGGGGCAGAAGCATAAAATGGAGCAATAACAGCCTCTTCAACAAATGGTGTTGGGAGAGCTGGATGGCTACATGCAAAAAATTGAAATTGGATCATCAGCTGACACCATACACAAAAATAAACTCAAGATGGATCAAAGACTTAAATATAAG